TCTACTCCCGTTCACCGTCCGACATGCGTCCGAAAGAAATACTGTCAAATAATTTCAGTACAGAGTACTTAAAAAACCGACCTCAAATGTACGTGGAATTACATCTATTAGCCAAGTTTTATTGAAATATTAGTTCCCCTAGTTCGCCACTATACAGGACTTGACACGGGAGATAATAAAAATCGGTTCTCAGTACTCAAAGTATATTGAAAGAGAAAAACGCCTTGAATTGGAGAATAGCAAAACCAACCATTAAAATAATTACTCCTTAAGTAAAATTTAGGCGCTATTTATAGAAATGAATGTTCATGCGTGATCAGCCACCCTTAGAGGTGGATGATTTGCTTCAAAATGAAATGGGACCACCATGGAGGTACCCAACAAAAAAAGGATGATGAAAATCGGTTCACAAATACCGGAGTTATCGCGTAACATAAATAAAAAAGAATACAGTTCGACTGTATGTGGAACTTTGAGATCTCCGAATTGAGAACCTCCTCCTTTTTTTGAATTCGGTTAATAAGTAATACTCGACCAAATGAAAAGACAAGTTGTCTTTGACTTGGTCGAGCATTACTTATTTGACAGTAATTGTTTTAGTATAGATATACCAATGGTTCGTATCATTTCCGCCGGTAGATACCCGTGCCCGATACACAGTGGTAGTATTATGGGATCTGGCGTGTTTAGAGTTTAAATGAGAAACTTGTGTACGACTTCTGTGTATAAATTTAAAAAAATCTAACATGATACCGTTATACTATTTACTATATCAGAATTCAAATAAGCTCGTACTAGAATTATTTGCAAATGTTTATCTTATCGTAACAATATTGCATTGCTATGGTAATGTAAACAGGTAACTAAACGTAAATAATGATTTTTAACATAAAGGTAGGTTGTGAGTGACCCCGACTTTCCAGGAACATTTGTGTACGTTAGCATTAAGTATTTCAAAAATATGGATAGAAATTATTAGTAATGTAAACATTTTATAAACCTTCCCTCACATATTTGAATATGAATGCTACCACACAAAATTGTTATGCAATTTTATATTTATGCGCTAAATTTATTAATCAAATAATAACCTAAGCTTCCACGCTGAAACGAACTGTTCTGAGGTAACCGTAGCACTGCACGGTAAATCAGCGGATGCTACTCTGAGTGAAGAGATAAAGTCATTGTATGACACCGAAACGATGAACACTATTAAGTGATACTGATATACATTATGTGTAATTTATTAGTTAAATCCTTGTAGTAAAATTAACCATTAACGGGTTAAGAATCTGAAAAGCTTTAAAGCGAAATATTAATAATAAAATTACTTACAAATATATTGTGCCCAACAGCTTCTTTTAACCATTTGAAATGTACCACACTTAAGTATGGACTGGCAGGAAAAACATGATGACATAATAGTTGCTAATTAACTACGAGTATTCATAAATGAACATTATAATTAAGAAATTTTAAACACTGTGGGAAGCCTTTGACACGTTTGTTCATCGCTTTAGTACAAGCGTATTAAATTAAAAGCTTCGTTTTTTTCTAGTACGCCATTAGAAATTAGTTTTATGTCCCCATCGATATGCCTGGCCGATAAAAGAATGGTTGTCACGGATAGCCACGCCTTTGAAAAAGTGTAGTGTCCCACTAGGCATGTTCTATGGCCATTATTGTTTACACTATTATTATATTTTCTTGATTTTCTCGAGGCTTGAGAACTTTCAATTATACTATTTCAACAAGATTTCTTTTTCCAATTTAATTAAAGAATACTAACATACTCAGTGCTTTCTTCATTGTTCTTGTTCTCATACCAGATGTAAGCCGAATATTTTTGTATACAAAGGTAGACAAAATAGATTCTATTTGAACTCTCGCCATGGTGCGGGATGTTAACTGATTCCGTTTTCTGAGGTCGCATACATTGATGCCAAAAAGGTATGTATTAGCTCCACTTCATGTAAAAACCAAAGAAACTTAACACCCTTTAACTTCATTTTTGCACTCGTAACATCAAACGTAAGAATAATAAAATGTACAAACTGACATAATTCTACAATATTCTATAATGTCCCCATGGCTTTCCTGTCGCACACTAATGTAAAATATGTACGTACGAGAAATACGTTTAATAAGGGTGTGTTATCACCAATTCTTCAGCCAGTTGTGGTCAGTGGTTAAGGACGAATGGACAAGTGCCGTTGCTTGTCAAAAAATGTATTTGAAAAATTTGGTGATCAGTGTTATTGTGCCCAATATTGTAATTCCAAAATAAAAATTAAATTTTAGAACACAGTGGACTACCTTTTGCTTGTTTATTCAATTAAATTATTTTATCTTATAGTGCTAATTGATTACTTAAAAATCAGGTTTGACAACATTAATGGAATGGAGAACATTTTATTATAACATTAATTAAAAATTAAAACACTAGAAATTAAAACTATTTTTCCTCTGATCTTAAATCGCGTATATTAGTTTTTTCATACAACCCTCAAATTAGTTTGTTTGAACGAACAAACATTCACGATGTTATCGTAAAAACAACTAATTAATTTCCAATTTCGCGAAAACCGAACAACTCGATGAAAATTAAAACGTTATTAAAATAATACGCAAAGTTATCCGAACAATCAAATTTAAAAATTTTGTTTGTACATAAAACGCAACATGAAGTAGATTGTAGTATATTTTTGAACTAGTTGTAAAATCAATACTCAACTTCCCATCATCAGGTGACAACAATGGTGACCTTGAAAATGTCTTCAAAGCAATCGCTATCATTGAATCGAGCTTTTTTTATAATGCGATTTCACGATAGCTTTACAACTTTTTTAGAAATATTTTTACTTTGTCGAAAAGAAGTATAAAGCCGGTAATAGTTTTAATTCAAAATTTTTCACAATTTTTCATGTGTTTTGGACGTAGTCTTCAAAAATAAATTAAGTACTTGACGGAAATGTGGCAAAAACATTTATTTTTGTTTGGTTGTTTTCAATATGTAGTAATCGCGAAAACCTAAGAACTCAACAACTCAAAACAGTTCTTTATGATATTAGATCAGAAGAAGGTCTTTATGATATTAAATTCAAATTTAAACGACAGTGTAAAAAATCTTTTTATATTTAGGAAAATTTGTATAAAAACCTAAACATGTAGGTCATAATTACTTTATAATATTACATTGAAAGATCGGACTAGGCAGATATTTACCTAAATTTTAAGTAATATATACATAAAGTGACTTAATACCTCCCTCTGAAACACCGGAATGATTAAAAATTACAAAACTTTTTCTCTAAATACACGACTGTGGTAAAGGAAATGCTAATTACACGTCAATAATATAGAACAAAATACAAAACAATAATTTTGTGATTTCAGAGGGACGTATTATCGTCTCTATATTATTTCTTTGAAGTTTAGGTAAATATACTCTATCTATTCCGATACCTTATTATAATACATCACTGACGCAGATATAGGGTTGCTAACATACCAATTGGAAAAACATTGAATGATATATTGCACATGAACCAAAAACTTTCGTAACTCAAAATTGTACAATTGAGAAAACACGATTTGAAAGTTATAAAAATTACCGAGAAAACCCAATAAATTTATATTCTCGTTCATAAATGGGTAACTAAAATATTTACAAATACAAATAATCACTTTATTCTCAATAAGATTTACGTAGCATTTCTTTTTTTTTATAATAATTTTCTATTCTTTTATTTATTAGTTTCTGCGATTCTTAATTACGACAGTATTTGGTGTCAATAAAACATATTTACAAGATATTGCTATCTCTAAGTTTACGTCTTATTAATTGTAATATAACATACCTAACATTTGTCCTACATATAGGATTTCCACGACAATGAGATATAAGGAAAATTAATACATTTAAAAATTCTTTGCAATGCAATTGTTCGATGGACCAACGCTAACATTGTACTGACGACCAAAATTCCTTGTTGCAAATGTTTGACATTGAAAGTTGACCCTTATTATAATAAAGGTAAATTATTTACTAGCTTATTTTTTATGAGATGTTTCCACGTTTTCGACTGGTAAACAGATAATAGTAAATAGCAATATTTTAGCAACAGTAGAGCTTCTTGTTCGAAGAGTATTGTCACCTTACCTATTTTTGCACTTGACAGTTGCGTCAAATAAAGTTGGTCCGTGTGCGAAGCGCCTTAGCCATTAAAGGGAGCGCGGCGGATCTAATTCCGCTCCAGACCCGACACGCGCCCGACCCGCACCCGCTCTCTGTGTGTTTCACGCTTTATATGTCTGGTGTTAAGTTAATTGAATCAATGAGTGAGTTTTGGAATTTTGGATTCTTATTGTGCCTTAACTCGTTTACATAATGTTTGTACATATAAGTGAATTATGAGTGAGTTCTAGAGAGCCAATGCAGAAGTAACAATAAACTACACGAGCCTTTTTACGATTGACAATTACTATTGCCCTAATCATAATATCAATAGCGTGCTAAAGCATGTGCTGTTGTTCTACTTGAAACACAATATTGCATGTGTAACGTACTGAATATGTGTATATCAACTATAGCATGCACTCGTAACTATAGCAATATTGTTTAAAAATGAAACAATATCGTATTTTTTGCTACTCTGTATCAGCCGTCATTTTGTTAATAAAAATTTGTAAAGCGAATTTTGAAAGTCTGTACACACCTAGATGAGTCCGTTCGTTCAATAAAACTGCACTCTATAACAAAATTAAAACAAAGAAGTCAACAATTCCGTATGCGTTTAAAAGTGTTTTTAAATCATTAATCCGCCCTTGAACTAAAATCTGAAGGAAAACTAATTAAGAAAACGATTTAAACTAAAAACGCAATATTAATGCTCCAGTTCGAAACCGAATGTGAAGTCTCTTACCCGCATTGGATTGTTGTAGTGAACAATGACTTAAAACCATAAACATTTCCTTAGAGGACACCCAACAGTGTGAAGTGCAGTTACTGTACAATGGAAGTGAAAGAGGAGTTTGTGAAGTTTACAAAAGAAGATATCGGATCATATTTAAAAAATTATCACGCAGCTGTCTCTGCCGCAGAAAAATGGAAGAATAAAAGAGTATCTTTTGTCTCCCCAAAATCAGAACGAATCACAAAGAAGCACGCAAAAGAAGTTCAGCAAAATCAAAGTCAAAAAGAAAACATATTATCCAATATATTGGATTATTTTAAAGATGTCAAAGTTTCAGACTTTAAATACGAAGATAATGATATAGGAAAACGAGAAAAACCTTGTCCTTACCAACCCTACTGGGCAACTAGAATCATACATCACAAAGATGAAGATAAAGAAATTGGAAGAACTAATTCATTGGAAAGAAATATTATTTCAGAAACGCCCTTTAAGTGTCCTAACCTGACATTAAACGCAAATAAAAGAGACGAGATTTTATGCGACTATCATAGAGAGAATCAGTTAAAGTTGCCTCCAAGTTACCATGGAAGTAAAATGCTTATGCCGAATGGTGATCAGTTATTCTGGGTACGTGTTAAAAATACTCTAGTTAGACTTTGTGGCTCCCATACGGACTGGGTTTCTTTATTGTATAAGGCTTTGGCATTTCAGTCTGAACTTCAGGCTGGGTTTCATGTTACATAGCGAAGCCTCGGAACCACAAATTTGTCTTTTTAACCGACTTCAAAAAAAAGTGGAAAGGAGGTTATACGTTCGGCTCTATGTATGTTTTCCGATTTCTCCGTCAATTGTGGACCGATTTCGGAAATTCTTTTTCTGTGTAACAGTTTGTCTCTGATGCCGACGATGCTGTTCCGGCTTCGGCTATCACAAATAAAAAAAAAAATCCGCAAATAAAAGTCGACTCTTCATTTGACACAATACATGTAATAAAAAATCATCATTACCATGACAACCAGAAAAAAATTATAAAATGTACGAAGGAGTCCGCATCCTCGATGTAATAATGTCACATGTACAAAATAACAATTTTACAAGAGCGATGTTTAAGATGCTACGAAATTAGTCGCAAAATTTCACATAACATACATAATTTATTTTATGTAGTTAATATTATTTTTATGGTTGTCATGAAAAACAAGCACTTATCACGTATGATCATATGTAAAATTATTATACCACTGATACGAAATATATAACAGATAGAAAAACGTCTGTTAATAGTAATTATAACTTTGTTATTAAAAAAACCGTCTTCAAAACTTTTTTGAAGTGACGGGACGAACAAGTCGTGTGCCCGATGGTAAGCTACACGCCCGTCCATAACAGTTGCAGTGCCACACAGAGCTTTATATCGCAAAGGTCTGTGGGGCACTGCCACTGCGCCCGTCACCCTGAGACATAAATTGACAAGTCGCATGTGCCTGTAATTTCACCAACACCCTTACCTACCCTTCTAAACCGGAACGCAGTAATGCTAACATTACTGCTTGGCGGCAGAAACCCTTAATAAAAGTAAACCGGATTCATCATTGACTTACAATTATATGGACGTCGGGTCCGCAAGGCGTTAAAATCGTATACAGAGAGTCAAACTCCGCTTTAGTCTTCATTTGTTCGACTGACACCGCGATACTGCGATGACATTACAATTTTAATTCAACGTTTTAGCTTTTTCATATTCCTTTACATGTCACTACGTTTAAATAGGTTGACTTGGGACATTTTTTTCGTGGTTTTTGTATTAGACCCGTCGTCCATTTATTTGTAAGTCAATGGGATGCATCCTCTAATTTGCCATCCTTATTATAGAGGTCTAATATTTCCTACAAATCATTATATTAGAATCATCGAAATCTGTTCATAAATTTCGGCGTAATTGCGTAACATATACACATAAAAACACAGTCGAATTGAAAACCTACTCCTTTTTTGAAGACTGTTCAAAATATTTCTTAGATACAATGCAGGTAAATATTGAAAACGGTAATTGAGTAACTAACTTAATTAACAAATTTTTATGTAACTGTAATGTTAATTTATAATCCTCCTTATCGATCTCTATAACGGCTACTCTTTTAAATTAGTTCCTAGAGTGGGCCTTATATGACTCGCCATACAGAATTTCTTTTTAACCGACTTCAAAAAAAAACTTGGCAAATAGACGTAACTCCACATCTTGCTTTACGCACCTTTACGCATTTCACATTGTTCGTTTATTGTTTCGAATCGCTTTTGTTCGAATATGTTTACATTTTTATAAACCGTATTTCGGCAAGACGACCTTGAACCAAACTCCCTATAAACTTTTACGAATTTGGACATTGCAAGCCTTATCTCTATTAGCAAAAAAATAATTGAGAGATTAAATAAACAAAAAAAGGTTTGAACAGCAAACGACTTGTTACAGATTTTTTAAATAAATAAATAAAAATACATTTGTTTATACACAAAACACATTACCAATAATATAAGCGAATCAATAAACAATAAAAACAGAAGAAGAAATGAACAAAAAGGATGAGATTCAGCCGTGCTGAGTTTCAGTCTTCACCTAGATAGATACTTCTTCTAGTCGCTACACAATATTGATGCCTACTAGCACCACCATATCAGATTTAAAACTAATAAATCAGACTGTACTATAGACTTATAATACTCTACGCGAGTATATTCTGCGTCTATCGGGCTATTTTATTTATTTTATACATTATAGGTAAATTTATTATTATTATTATTAACATGGTTGTACGTAAGGATGACTATTTAGCCTCGTTAACGGATTTCCACAACATAAACTGCTTAGCAAACGCTAGGAGGGTTTATAAAACAGCAGCCACATCAGCAAGTAGGTAATACAACAATAAAAAAGACAGAAAACTAAACGAACTATAAGGACAAATACAAAATGCATTTTTCATACCGGGTACTAGTGGCACTGCAACTGTTATTTTAACTGCAAATGTTACAGGCGTGTCGTTTACCATCAGGCGCACGGCTTGTTCGTCCCATCACTTACTTTCATAAAAAAAATGTTAACCGAAGAAGAATCAGATGAAGCCATCTTTTTTTGAATCTAAACATATTTCACAATTTCATATGGCAAATTATACAGCGACTTTAGGGTCACAAGCAGGAAAGTGTGAAGGAAAATGTTTCTATACAACATTTTGTATACAAACATTTTACGCGCTCGCTATCGATAACTGTCACTGTAATCTAGTGGTAGAGGCACTGAGTCTAAAGTTTGCGCTTGAATATAAGCGCGAGCACGATGATATTGCGACGGTACGCCTCGGCATGCCTAAGGACGCGTTCCCATTATGTCGTGACGACAGATACTCGTGCAGTTTAAAGTGTCGTAGTTTGTATGTTTAAATTTCTTTCTTTAAAGTTCTTTTTGAGGTTACAACGACAGATTGTCGTGACAATGGTAAGAACTAGAACGACAGTCGTCAGACGACAAATAAAACGCCACGGTAAAAATGTGACGACAGATAATCGCAGCTTCAAACGATTCTGTCGTGCAAACGACAATTCGGCTGCTGAGAATTGATAAAATGTCACAAGTGTAGTGGGACCAGCTAGACAAGACAGTCGTTCAACCATAAAATAAACGTCCACGACACAGTCACGACAGATGGTTGTGTATGGGAACAGGCTAGACGCGACAGTCCTCCAACAATAAATAAAACGTTACGACATAATGGGAACGCGCCCTAAGGATACCGCTGCATATTTGCGCCTGCATGTAGGGATGCCGAAAAATCCCTTGAAATAAACCCAAATTCAGAATGATCTTATAATGTATTATTAAAGAGTCTCAAAGCGCCCATGAGGTACATGTAACGCTTGCAAACGGCACCACCAAAAGGTTGTATTGCCTATATATTGGGACAATGTAAGGAAAAGTTACATATTAATCATATTTTTGATATATTTATTGTATTACATGTGTTAAGGAAATTCATAAATTCATAAAGTAAACAATAAAATTACGACTGTAATAATGTTGACAAAATTAAATACGCCTTACACGTAGGCTCAGTTTACATTGCCGCGGACGAAATGGAAGCTAGTTTTTATAACGAAATATTACTTATACTTTGAGATGAAATCGATGTCCAAAAATCTTAGCAAACAACTGTCGCAGTCAAATATGTAATTAACACTTAATAATGAATAAGTTTATTACTTTCAATTTATTATTCTACTCTGAGTGGCACCGCAACAGCTATGTCCGCTTACTACCAGTCGTACTTACGACTTGTTTGTCCCGTCATAAAGTACCATAAACGAAACGCCCAGTGTAGGTGCATTACATCGAGTATATAACCAGAAATAGAGACGAAATAAGGGCCACCCATCCCTGGCACTTTCACTCACTCTCACTTTTAGATATCAACTCTCGTTTGCGATGAAATCACAAATTAGAAAGCTGAAATAGTACAGCGCCAACAACTGACCTGTATGTACGCCTCCGTATATTCGAAAAATATTATGTATTTATTGTAATAAAGATAATCTCTAACAACGGGGGGCTGTTCCATTCGGTAGTGTAGGAAAACAGAAAAACATCTAATTACGAAATAATCGGAATCACATTTCATCGGTAATTAAATATGTAATTTTTCAATTTGACGACACCAGTCAATTGTTTCGAATTCGGGCTGGCCAATCGAAGCGCATTTGTCACCGTAATGATTTGGTAGAATAATTTTCATACAAATAATACTAAATTTCGTGTCTATTTCTGGTTATATACTCGATTGTGCATTATCATGAAAATATACCTAGCATTCAAATTTGGACCTTTATATTCTACGTATATGACCTAACTAAAGCATGTAATTATATTTAGTACATTTTAATGTACAATCTTCTTCTCATCGTATCGATGGCATACACAATAATCAACAATGCTTGCCATCGTGGTGAAAGGATTTGCTCATCGGCGTAAGGTACTTGCCGATTGTGCCCAAGGTACGCCAGACTTCGGAAAGGGATGTACCGAAACGCGTTGCTGGCGGCACCTCTCAAGCATGTCCTGTAGATTGTTCCTGTTGGCGGAGGTTTGTCATTTCTTGACGTAACAGGAACTGTTACGTAACGCTGTTCGACATTATGAACTTTTCTACAAAATGTATGTGATGAACATGTATGAACACGTTTCATCGTTAAACGCATATAAGAAACTTGTATTTGTAATTTAGTATGATGGGAGATAGCACGTCTGTTCGCTTCAGACATTTAATGGAGAGTGATTACGGCACGAAGCAATGTGAAAATAATTAGAGAACAATTCAAAATTTAAAAAGTAATTGCCACGAACCAGAGCAAATACGGAATGACGATGGAGGCGGTCGCATCATCACAGTACATCGCGCAACGAAGTCTTTTCGTGCACCCCACGTAGCTTGTAGCCTCATTGGGATGATGTCTGATAATTATATTATTTGTACACAGCTCGGAGAAACCCGCACAACATCTTACGGCCCAGCGACGTACCAAGATTTCAAAGAGATTCGCTCACGTTGTCTCGCAGACAGAACGCTCTTCGAAGACCCTGAGTTCCCGCCCGTTGATAGAAGTTTATACTACAAGGAGCGTCTTGACCGTCCCATTACTTGGCTGCGGCCTCATGTAAGTTCTTACTTAGATGAGTGGGGCTATGTTTCACTAATAGAGTGTCTATGTAAAGCCCGCTAATGGTGGACTTATTTCTAAAAACACACATTTTATAGGAAATATGCGACGAGCCGCAGTTGTTCGTGGAGGGGTACAGCCGTTTCGACGTGCAACAGGGCGAGCTGGGAGACTGCTGGCTGCTTGCCGCTGTTGCCAACTTGACACTGTACAGGAAGTGAGTTTTGAAATATTCTCTTTGCAAGACCTAAAAAGCGAGACAAAAGCTTTTATTCGTGTTTCATACGATCGTTTTAGAGCAGCAGCGGGTAGACATTATGGAACTGCTCAAAATCTTTCGCAGTACAGCGCTCAAGCCGCATTTGAGCACTGCCATACTACTAGCTGACGACCTCGGTGTCCCAACTGTTTGCAATATGGGCACTGGATTACAAAGTCCCGGGTTATATCACTATAGAAATAACTTGAGTTTAAAGTGAAATTTAACTTAATTTGTAGTTTTTTTATGGTAAAATAGGTGCGCATTTGACCTCCAACTCACCTGATGGAAAGTGACGATGACATTGACGATGGAGCATGCATACTTAAATGATGTCTAGTTGATAGTCTTGACTAATAATAAAATTGATCCCTTGATTGTTTGTTCTCTGTACTTTTTCAATCCAAAAAAATGTAGGTACTTTGTGACTTTGACCGCTGAAAGCGTACTTCATTGTTTTCTTGCAGATTGTTCTTCCAAGTGGTGCCGGATGACCAGAGCTTCGATGAAGACTACGCCGGTGTCTTCCATTTCCGGTAAAAGCACTTACGTTATACCACTAGACCGGGCGGCGTCGAATCTAGTCGAACTAGGATAGGATTATTTATAAAATACTGACAACCACAGGACAAATGCGCAATTATCTTGTAATAAAAAAAAAGACTATATGACTAACATCATAAACAAGAACTTTTGTTCCATGACTTTTAATAAATTCATCAAATTTTACTTTTGCACCAAAATAAAAATATTTAAATGGATCGCTCTCAACATCGAGTACATAACCAGAAATAGAGACGAAATTTCATTTAATTTGTTTGAAAATTATTCTGCCAAATCATTACGATGACAACTGCGTCCCGATTGGCCAGCCCGAATTCAAAACAATTGACGGGTGTCGTCAATTGTTTCTCTTCAAATCGACCAGTTTAACTTGAGCTTTGCTATAATGGATGAAAATTGAAAAATTACAAGTTAGTATTTAATTACCGATGAAATGTATTCCGTTTGTGTTGTAATTAAATGTTTTGCTGCTTTTCCCACACCACAGAACGGAACAGAACCCCCATCCCCCTTTGTTACACATATTATGTTTATTACAATAAATACTATACGGAGACGTACACACAGGTCAGTTGTTGGCGCTGTACTATTTAAGCTTTCTAATTTGTGATTGCAATTGCGTTTGCACTAAGCAAACGAGAGTTGATATTTAAAAGTGATATCAGTTATTAGTTTGAAACGGCTCAGCTTTGCAGCGTACGTGATTAAAAAAATACGAAAACTTTTAGACGTCGAAACAGATTGGTTTACTTCAGCTATTTTCAGAGTGTCTTTGAGAGATAAGTTTAAAGAGATTAACATTCTTACGCTAGCGTCACAGTACATTTACGAAATGGTTATTTGTTATGCAAGGCTGCAAAGTTATTGTTTGACACGAGTGCCGGTATTGAAACTTGAGCAAGTGAAGGAGTCCTAAGATTCGAGTTCAAAAATAGAATCCTGAGAATAACAAATAAATTTTAATAAACAAAATTATTTATCGTCGTCAGTTCAATGTCAACAATAATAAGAATCAAATATACCAACGGATTTATACCTATTACATAAATAATGTACGACAAATCGCGTAATTGAACGTGTCATCTTGTTTTCTTTTTTCATCGAAAGAAAAAATTAGGTACACCACAGTCCATCGCCAAGATCGAATTTCAAAAACCTTTTCCACGCTAGCAGATTTCTAATGAGATAGAGAACCTTTCCGAGATAGTGAGGTGAGAATGTTATTTATATTAAGAAGAAGAGTAATTTTTGTGTCAGTGACAAGCATAACATAAAACCGCCACCGAAAATGGATGAAACAATAATATATTAAACCCACTAAAACGCGAAAATTTAGATTTTAAAATAACATATTGTAGCTTGTCGTCTCGTCTACATTTTACAAACATAATCTAAGTGATTTGTAACATCCAAATATTTAAAAAATGTTAAAAACGGTTGACATAAATCCATTGACCAAACCAATGAACGACCACACTCTCCATTTGAGTAAATTAATGTCAACATGATTAACTGTTTCCAGCTTCTGGCAGTACGGACGTTGGGTGGACGTAGTGATCGATGATCGTCTCCCAACGTACCGTGGCAAGCTGGTCTTCCTCCACTCCTCGGAGAACAACGAGTTCTGGAGCGCGCTACTCGAGAAAGCTTATGCCAAGTAAGTTTTATTGAACACACGAATTTCATACCGGATGTATATGAAGTTGGAGGAAAAACATATTAATTTCAAGGATATAATCCTTCTTCTAACAGTCGTGGTAGCCTACAGCTCAATTTATGTTGCGGCAGAACGGAATGGAAGCGAATTTTTGTAACGATATTTTTACATAGCGTAATGAACTTTATGGTCAATTGTGTGACGTACACACTAGAAACGAGCCAAAAATCACGTCGTGCGTCTTCCGCGGAATTCTCGCGCATACTCAAGAGTGCTCGCGCATTCGCGAGAATTCCGCAGCTGCCGTTGACGACGCTTGGCGAATCCGCGGGAAGTAGCGTGAAGGCTAGCGCAGTGCGACTTCAATCGGCGACGAAATACTACAGGCCAAATTAACGTGTTTGTGTTTAGTTTTTTTTTTCAAGATTACGCGAAATCCACGTTCAGATTTATTCAGCATAAACACTCTTCGCTTAATCTTGACGTAAAAAATCCATGGGCGATAATGTAATGAAAAAGCCCGTGGGCATAATTAATTTGGGCATTAGTTTATTTAGGACGTTACGGTCGACTTTGCATGCATGTCATGATACTATTTAAGGATGATGAAAATATGTTATCGACTCATTTCGTTCGTAAAATGTTTAAACCTTTCTCGTGAAAAGTTGTAATTTTGCAAAGGTGACATTATTGCATTATGATGCATTATGATGAATGAATAAGAAACGGCTATGATATACGAAATGTAACTCTTTCAGGCTCCACGGCTCTTATGAAGCTCTCAAAGGTGGTTCAACTTGTGAAGCTATGGAAGACTTTACTGGTGGCGTAACCGAGATGTACGACATCACTGAGCTGCCCCCAGACTTTTTCACTATCCTGTTGAAGGCGTACGAACGAAATTCTCTCATGGGATGCAGCATTGAGGTATTATAATACATAGGGCGCACTATAAGTTTCCGAAACTGGCCACTTACATAAACAATATTTAAAAAGTAATTACAACATTTGAAAATGGAACACTTTGGCTGTAGAATACAGTTTGTTTCGTCTGACTGTCACTTGTTTGCGCGCGTGCAAAGTGCCCCTAAGCGGACGATTGCTTCTTTTTTTAATAAAACTGGACACGTGGCTACTGTTGCTTTGGAGAATCGTTGTACCGTGAACAGTGATTGGTACACAACCATTTGTTTGCCGGATTTGTCATTTGTTATTGACAGACTCCGTAAAAATAACCGTAAACGCCGTATCATCTTTGTACCACGATAATGCCAAAATTTTTAATAAAAAATCATTGAAATTTTTCCGGATAAATTCCCGAAAAGTTAGAAAAATCGGAAAAATATAATTTCATAAGCTCATAATTGTGTTATACGTTCAGGAATATGTTTAAAGTTTTATTTCGCGTCAATTATAAAATCTTCTATAGCTAAAAGCCACGAAAAGAAAAACGAGATTCAAAGTGATTTCGCAACAGCGAAAAAAAAAACATTTTTAATCGCTCCGTCATTTTCGTGCAGTAACTTCAACTTTTGACAGGTGTCAACGTCAAATGTGGAAAAATAAAGGAAAAATATCCGGAAAAATATTTTTTTCTCAAAAATGTGATTTTTCAGAATGGAATTTTTTCCATGACCCAATAGGTTACCTAATAGCAAATACCTTGACCATATGATCTAGCAAAACAGTGACTCGCCTTAAAATATATATAAATATAAATTTACGTAAAATATTAAAGATACAAATACACAAACCCGATGATAGCACCTGTAAACGACGCAATTTCCAGCCCGACCCGCACATCCTGGAGGCGGAGACGCCCGTGGGGCTGATCCGCGGCCACGCGTACTCCATCACGCGCGTCAAGTACGTGGACATCGAGACGCCGGGGCGCAGCGGCAAGATCCCGCTGCTGCGCATGCGCAACCCCTGGGGCAACGAGGCCGAGTGGAACGGGCCCTGGAGCGACAAGTCAGTGGCCTCTAAATTATCATTACTTGTAGCCTATAGCGGTGTTAGCCCATCATTTCAAGAGGTCGTGTCAACACGACGTAGCAATAGTAGTTTATCTGACATCAGACGAGTGTTTTAATGCCTAATTATGTACAGTACATACACTGGTTTATCTATACGCATATTGTAAGCTCTCTATGATGCGTTCAGGAACCGCATGATATGATAGGCATTGCGGCATTGATAAGAGATTAGCAGTAATTATTAGTAAAATAATGCAAAAAACTTATTCTCTCGCATGTCACACAACCGTAGTTTTTTTTATTCATAGACAAACTAAGTCGGCCCAACTAACGTATCGTTTGATATCAAGTCAAAATTGTTTGCTATTGACATTTCATTTCGAATAAAACTTCATCTCGACTGATATTAGAATTGAGATTGAATCAAATTGTAATGTTTTTCAGAGACGTTCAAAATTTGAATGTAATAATAAAATCGAATTTATTTCACAGATAAGAAATTTGTTCTAACAAAACAGTTTATCTCATGCTGGTCGTAAATTGCTGTTTTTGAACACATCATAGAGTGTTTATGATATTGGTAGATTCTTAAATTTGCCATTCACGAGGATTTTTTTATGATATTAAATGACGGGACGAACAAGTCGTGCGCCTGGTGATAAGCGTCACGCCTGTCTTGTGACGCTCAAAGGGCACTGCCACTGCGCCCGTCACCCTGACACATAAGTTGGAAAGTCTCATGTGCCTGTAATTTCACCAGCACATCAACCCTTCAAAACTGGAACGCAGTAATGCTCACATTACTGCTTGGCGGCAGAAATAAGTAAGGTATCAGTACTTCTCTGCACGACCTCTTTCACGAGGAACTCTACTGCTACTAAATAATTACTACATTTCCGGTTTCTTAATATTATTTGTTACTTTTTTAATCAACAATTTAAATTTTTAAACAAATTTATATTCAGTACATTTACTATAGTTACTAATATTAACACAGTGGCGTATATATATAATTAAGGCAGAATTTATAATGTATCAGCTTCGATTTTAGATCATTATTGTATTTTGTGTATTGGTTACCGGTTCTAATTTTTGAAATCAATGATGGCCTTTTGTTCGTAAATATTAATAATAATTTTTTTTATAAATTTTTAGGTCCCCCGAGTGGCGATTCATCCCACAGTCTGAAAAGGAAGAGATGGGCCTCACTTTTGATGACGACGGCGAGTTTTGGATGTCATACAAAGATTTCATAACCCATTTCTCGAGGTGCCTTAATTGTTGTCATATTTTGAAACATGTCACGCTGTTCGTATACGAACACGTTTCTGTTGGCGTATCGGGACCAGTATAAAATAAAGATTTTATTTATTGCAGAGTGGAGATCTGCAATTTGAATCCCGACACATTGGACCCTTCGGAGTGTCCGGAAGGATGCAACAAGAAGTGGGAGATGTCCGTCTTTGAAGGCGAATGGGTCAGAGGTAATATTTTTTTTTAATATAAACCCTTTGTCGTGTGTGCCATGGACACACACTTAGGCAACTACAAATTACACCCAAACTCACGAGATAAATAAATGTGTACCATACAAATATTTCTCCCGACCCGGGAATAGAACCCGTGACTTGCTTTTTCGCTTGTTTTTTTTTAGTCTTGTATTGTTAATTTTTCTTCTAAAATATGATTCTAATCATTTCCTGTCTCAAATGAATTTAATTTTTATTTTTCTACAGGCGTGACAGCGGGCGGCTGCAGGAACTACCTGGAGTCATTTTGGCGCAACCCACAATACACTGTCACGTTACGAGACGTTGATGAAGACGACGACGACAACAAGTGCACTGTACGTTTTAGTTTCCATTCACTTCAACACGTAAACCTATCAAAAGCCTCCCTTCCCTTTCTCCAGTAATAGCGATTTAACGCCGCCATGATCTCATATAAGCTTCTAACTCATCTCACCATCTCCTTCTGTGCCTTCCACGTCTCTGGGTTGCATTGAGCGGGATCCAACCCGTTGTGGTCTTTGCCCGCAGCTCTCTTGACATGTGGCAGAGATTTCCATTTGAGGCTAGCGGCTTTTTGACCAACGTATTTTGTTTTTTTTATTATTATTTGACATGCCACAACTGCAAACAGACTGCATGATGAACTTAGACTTTCTAGTGCACTACGGAAAACCTATGTCGCGGGTGCCATGGACACACATAGACAACCACAAATTACTCCCAAACTCACGAGACAATTAAATGTAGGCCACAAAAATATTACTCCCAGCCCGGGAATCGAACCTGGAATCTCTGCGTGGCAGTCCAGCATGGTAACCGCTCGGCCACGGAGGCAGTTGTTTGTTTGCATTCTTCGTTTATCAGTTTTCCGATCCAGTTTCAATTAAACCAACGACAAATAAAATAAAAACAAATCATTTCTAAGAACTTGCTGTTAAATTCAGTAGCCGAAGGGCTCTTTGTGAGCATGACTGCGTTCGGATTTTGAAGGGCATGGTTGCTGGTGAAAACAACAGGCACATGTTACTTGATAACTTTTATGTCTGAAGGTGACGGATCCATTGTTAGTGCCGCACAGTTCTTTGTAATTTAAAACTAAGTGGCAACTGCATCTGTTATGAATAAGCATGTCGCTGATCATTTGGCGCACCACTTGTTCATCCCGTCACTAGTTATTATAAAAAAAACTGACTGCTTTCATATACCGAAATCCGGGCCATGTTCAATTCTATGGTTGTTTGAAGACAGCATACTTTTGCTCTGTTGTACCTAATTCAGTAATACTAATACTTTTCTTCCAGATCATCGTAGCTCTCATGCAAAAGAATCGTCGTTCGCAACGTCACCAGGGCTTGGAGTGCCTCACGATCGGCTTTGCTGTATACCGCCTGCCCGACTACGGCCATGTACCAAAACCGCTGGACGTCAACTTCTTCAAGTACAACGCGTCTGTTGGACGATCTAACGCGTTTATTAACTTGCGAGAAGTCAGCGCTAGGTAACTAAACGTTGTCTTATCTACTTTTTTATGAAAAAAAAAACCAACACAAACATCTATTTGCCAAGTTTTATTGAAATCGGTTACCGGAAACTACGTGAAACCGTCCCATATAAATAGTTTCGTCAAATTTAAATGAGACCAATATTGAGGTACCCACTTTCCAATAAAAAAAAAGAATTATCAAAATCGGTTTACGTTATCTCGTAACATACATACAAATAAAAATCTGTCGAATTGAGAACGTCCTCCTTTTTTGAAGGTGGTTAAATAGTCAGCTTTCAAGGACATGTGTGTCACTGTCTCTGTTCAATGTTATGCCGATAGATGGCTCTACCAGTCTTTTATATCAAGCTCCATATTATATTGTTTTGTTTTCATTTCAACGTTCAGATGAGTAACCAATCTAATGACGCCCAGTTATAGTGCAAACTCAATCGAGGTACTGCAGTCAATTAACGAGGCGTGATTGTTAAATAAGTACCGTTTTCAATTAAAAAAGTCCACTATTCGTAAATTTGTAATAGTACATGCAAACCTGTACTTTAATCTATTTTTCTACATAATTACCACCAATGTTAATGCACTTCTTATCGTACAACCAGCTTTTGAATCCCGTCGTCATAGAAGTCTGCCGTCTGATTTGACAACCACCCCGATACGGCCGTTTGACACTCATTGACATCGTAGCTTAGGCTCTCACGGAGATGCTTCTTCAAATGCAGAAACACGATTTAGTTACTGGGCGCTAGATCGGGATTTCTTTTTTTATTATAGTAAGTGACGGGACGAACAAGTCGTGCACCTGATGGTAAGCGAAACGCCTGTCCTTAAAGTTGTAGTGCCACTCAGAGCTTAGATCACAAAGATCTGAGGGGCACTGTCACTGCGCCTATAAGTTGAAAAATCACATGTGCCTCTAATTTCACCGGCATCCTGACCCTTCAAAACCGGAATGCAGTAATGCTCACATTACTGCTTGGCGGCACAAATAGGTAAGGTTAGTAACGCAGTACTTCCCTGGACGAACTCTTTCACAAGGAGATCAAGTTCTCAGTGATCAAGTTGTCAATTGCATCAACTTTCTGCGTCAAATCTTCAGTAATGACAGAAGGTTGCTGCTTTCGTTCCTCGTCATGAACATCCTAGCGACGACCTTTGGAACTCTAACTCGTTACCGTACTATTTTTTCGCTCGTAATGTTTTGTCCATACACGTCACAGATCAGATGATGAATTTCAATCGGTTTTTTTTTACACTAAGAAAACTAATCACAGCGCGTATTTCGCACTTGGCGGGATTCTCAATCGGCGGTGGCATTTTAAATAATAATACAAACAAAAACATGGTCAAAAATTGACGTTATTACGACTGTGGCTTGCCAACAGATGTAAGTACACAAAGCGAATAAGCGGAACACCAACCGCAGTGCTGCAGCGGCCGCATTTGAAAACGGTACTTTGAAAACACGCCTGTAAATAGTCCTTAGTAAATAGTCTTCGTAATTTAAATTGCAATATTACAAGAGTTTCCCATCTCACATAATCTCGACAAAAATAAAAACTACGCGAGCTGTCGTTCGAGGAAAACAATGTATTTGTTCTGTAAGTCGTCGTGAAGCACTTTAATCAGAATTCGAAACAATGACAGACAAATTACATTTATTACAAAGGTGAGTCAGCAAAAAGGTTTCCCAACAATTGCACAGATGGCGCTACAGACTAAATATATCGATTATCGGTTTTTTCTTTTCCAGATTCAAGTTCGATCGTGGCACATACGTGATCGTACCTTCAACATTTGAGCCAGATGAGGAAGGAGAATTCTTACTCCGTGTCTTCTCAGAGAAAAGCAATAACATGGCGTGAGTAAATAAATTCATTATTACACAACGAATCCTTGAAAATATTCTGTGGTTTCAACAATAATTTGCGCTCCGTATAACATTACGAATTAGAATATCAGTTTGCCGACTAATGCATGTTTACTGGGGTGGTCTTTCTCACTGCCAGTCTCACAGACTGACAAGACTGACCAGATAGGCTGACGGCTAAAGGGGTCTTGGCCGCAGTGAGAGTAAAGTGCCGCTGAAGCGCTTTCTTCAAGCCTGGTTTTCGGTCGTTCCTCTTTCTGTCGCTGGAGCACTTTCTTGCAATCTATTTTTAGGTCATTCACCTTCTGAGGGAATGTTCAAAGGTTGTTTGATTAGTGCCATCTAACTTCCACTGGGATAAGTAGAGACTATGGACCCATTCACTCTACGCTCTTGTTACACCTCTTTGGTATCGTCCAATAGCTTGTCTTTTCAATAATTTTTTGCTCTTGGAACTTTTGATCTTGCTACTTATTATTTCAAAATGCCGTTACTCTCAGATAGACAGTAACAAAATTGTATATATATTTTTTTGTTTTTTAGTGAAAACGACGAAGACGTTGGTATGGGCCAAGTAGACGATAGGGTAAGATGACTTTTGTCTATTTTTTACTACAAGCCGTTAAAACCAAAAAAAGAAAGATTTGTAACAAACGTATAGAAAAATTCGTAAGATTCTGCTGACGCGGTCTGTAGCTCAGTTGTTAGAGCCAGTGCCCTAGATTAGCATTGACACAAATGCGAGTCCTGTCAGATCGAAGGGATTTTTCTTCGTGTTCGATGTATTTATAATTATACACAAGCTATTGTGGAATAATTCATATCATGGTAGTAAAACGTCATAATATTTAATATAAGCAATACTTATTTAAGACTCCATACTACCTCAAAATGACTTTAGTTGATTCCGCATAACAGTGAAAGTGTTGAATTAATCGCTTTGGATAAAATATATAGTAAAATTGAAGATATACACTGATTAGTATACGGTATGAAAATACGATTCCTAAAAACTTTCTCGATTCTCGAAAAAAAAAACCAACTTACCTGAACTTACCTCAAAATTTTACACGAAAGCCGCTGTATTATATGTACGGAATATTGTCAAAATACAATGAAGTCTACTAACAAAACTAATTTATAAAAACTGATTCAAATCAGCAAACTCTAAAAATCAATTAAATAATATGTATACCTACTACTCGACGAGACCAATCCGACGAGTAATGTATATTGTATATAAATAAAGTATATGCTTACGTAGTACACAGTATGTGTTTACGTAGATTCAAATATCTGTCGTTATTTCGTTACAATATTTAAATATTTATATTGTAGCAATTGCATGCTGTGATTTTCCTTAAATGTAGTGGCACTTCTAGTATTTTTTGAAGATGGAGTAAAATGACAGTTCATTGCGTAAAAGTGTTGCCCCCTTCCAAGCAGTTAGTGATTGCAATCGATAAATATTGTATCGACTATCGATTGAATATTGGTTACGCTTTTGCAATACATAGTCGAACTTGTTTCATTTGAATCATCATCGGTCCATTATTCCTCCAACTACTGGGCACGGGGTCATTGGTATTGTCAATTTTTGTGAGTTCATACTTACATACACTACATTTAGAACTACGCTATTCAAAATACAAAAATAATATTTCAAAGTATTTATTTTAATTCAATTAGATAATCAAATTCCTTACTAAAATGCGTTTGCCAGTCCTTACTAAAATGTATATGAATAAAAATTGTTTTCGATACTAGTAGGCCAACTGTCAAAATAGGAATACAAAAGACAATAACCCAATTAGTAATTATTAGAACATCTTAACATTAACAATTCAGACATTTTTGGCAATATTTTACCTTCTTTCACAATCTATCGATATAACTGTCGACACTACTACGTGACTATTTACAATTTTTTGAAAACTGGCAATCCTGCAATTGTCATTTTACTCCGTTTTCAAAAAAGACAGACTTTAGTTTAGACGCGTAAATTCATTATTTTATTTTTGTGTGAAATATATTAAATAAATAAATGACAAATACTGTATAAATCAGGTGAAAGATATAGCGCCCAATCCGGAACCTGCCGACCCGGTTCGTGAATTCTTCAACCGCCTCGCAGGCTCTGACGGAGAAGTTGACTGGCTGGAACTCAAGGAAATCCTCGACTACGCCATGAGAGAGGGTATGTTGCTTTTTCTATTTTTTATGGCTATTTATTATGGATATTATTGTCCACTTGAGCTAAACTAAATACATCTTAAACCAATCCTTGCAGTTCAAAAGACACTTTTAATACATTGTGTTAAGAGTGTCTTATATCATTGGTTCAAGACATACTTAAATTTAGTGCACCTGGACATTAGGGATTTATAGGCGTCTAAGATATGTCGCTCAATCAAGCTTTAATGCTTTAAGTATCAGGCTGTCTCAAGTTTTGCTTTAATAAAGTAAGAGACAGTATTATAGGCGAAGACATAAAGAGCATTTCTCCAAAACGCTTTTTTTTATAGACGGAAGTCATGAACGTCTATGACAAGAAACAAATTTTTTTTTTTCTTATAATTTTTTTGGCGGCTACGGAATACCGGCCCAAATGAGTAGTATTTCATGTGATACTTTTATGTTCTTTGAATGTCAAATTCAAAATATTTTTATCCCTAAGAGTAATAAGCAAAAATCTGTAGGGTTTGCTCTTTGTAATTAGACATTTATTCTCATTTTTTATGTACAATGTTTATTTCAACAACATCATGTTTAGAAGTACCCTAAAAGTACTACATGGATTACTCCTATGGATTTTTCATCATTCAATAAAATACAGATTGACATATTTAAGGTATTTGGCCCTTGAAATGCTTCTTCTTTACGTATTTTACTTTTATGGGTATGAAAAATTTGGAATTAGACTTATAGAATCGCACTTTATTTAAATATTGGTTTATCTGCACAAAAAGCACAGAGTATGTCAAAGCAATTGAAAAAAGTAGAAGAATATCTATCACCCCTGTCCGTATAACAGAGTTATTCTTTTATTATGTTGTGTTAACTGTATATGCTTCAATTTATTTTTATTTGAAAGGAATTGACGATTGAAAGTAAGATATTAAAATGTATTTTAATTTTTAAAAGAAATGTACTAAATCGAGGAAATAAATTATTCACTTTTTATAAATTATTTTGGTTATCACTTAAGCTCAATCTGCATTGCTGCAGAACGGAAAGGAAGCAAATATTTATTTGTAATCATAGCATAGTAAACTTTATATCAATTGTGTACCGTACCAGCCAGATCTAAGCCAACAGGTCTCGCGTCTTCCGGAGACTTCAAAGATATGTATAACAAAAACTCATGTAATCGACGCCTCCTACGTAAAGTATCGTATGTCGAAATTGCCAAGTTTACAGGGGAGTGTTTTAAAGTTCTCCGTTTCATTCGGCAAAGCTTGTTACTCACATAGAGTGATCATCTAATAGATCGTTTAGCCGATATCTAGGATTTTATGATACTCAACGTGTGTAACGAAATTTGCCGAACAAAAGTGAGAAATCTGAAGTCACGTGTTATGCTTATTTCAGTGAATTCAGAACTTTAAAAGGCTCCCCTGTAAACTTGGCAATTTTGACATACGATACTTTACGGCGGAGACGTCGATATATCCATTAAAGTATACAATCATCTATTGATTTTGATTCCAATCGGTATGGCACCGATCGGGTAGTCTCGAAATAGGATGGGTTTCCGAGAGTTGAGAGATGATGAATCTGAAGATCGGAGGGGTTGCGAGATGAACCTGATACCTACTATATCTTTCTAATTTGTTAATTAAATCTATTGTTCCGATTTGCAATGTCAAAAGTTTCCGATCGGCCAGTTGTGTGTTGTATGTTGCAATCATAGATATAGGACTAAATCTATGGTTGCAATTATGCGCCTCGACTCGGAAAAGATGCAGTTTCTAATCGGGAGAGGCAATCAAAATCAAGCTGCAGATCACTTGAAATAGTTAACTGTTTCTATACAGTTAGAGAGTACTTAGAGTTAATACGACCCTTAGGTCGTATTCCAGAACTCTACTCAATGCTCAAGTCAGGATCTGAGTATGATTTCAAGCACTGGAAATACGACCGTAATGGCAGGGACTTGAGTATGATTTCGAGTGCTTTAAACCATACCCAAATCTTGACTTGAGCATTGAGTAGAGTTCTAGAATACGACCCTTAGACACAAAATTATATAACGTAACGAAAATTTGTACATCTGTATATAGGTTATAATTTTTTTTATTATACTAAATGAGGGGACGAACACGTCGTACGCCTTTGGCATTAAACATTAAGCGAGGCATTAAGCGACACGTCTGTCCACAGCAGTTGCAGTGAGCTTACACACTGAGACATAACAAGTCCCATGTGCTTGTTATTTCACCAGCATCTTTAACCTTCAAAACCAGAACGCAGTAATCCTCACATTACTGTTTAGCGGCAGAAATAGGTAAGGTGACAGTACTTTTATAACTGTCTCCGTCGCCGAACGGTAACCATGCCGGCCGGACTGCCACGCAGAGGTCGCGGGTTACAGTCCCGGACCGGGAGAAATACTTGTATGGCGTACATTTATTTCTCTCGTGAGTTTGGATGTAATTTTTGGTTGTCTATGTGTGTGTCCAAGGACACCTGCGGTGCATAGTTTCCCTAGTGCGGGATCATGAGTGTATGCGTTCATAAAACTTCCCAGGACGGTCTCTTTCACAAGAATCTCTACTGCTACTAGGTTGAATAATATACTGTTGATAATTATATACGATGTTGCCACAAGTATTCTAGCAAATAAATAAATGATTTTGACTGAGAATTCTCACTTGTACGTTACGCAATTGACATAAAGACATTTCGTTCCGCGGCAATGTAAATTGAGCCTTAGCTTTGTATATGTATCGATCGAAGGTACCTTATGGTAGGAATTTCAAGGGAAATTTGATAAATATTGTTACCCAGTGGTTAGCATTGTCTAGTCTAAAAGTTCTCAAATTCCCTAATTTGATATCAGGGCCCCAATTCTACTGATTTCCTTAAACCACTAGTCACTGTAATTCTATTGTAATTATATATATATATATATACACAACAAGCGCTTTTTTGAAACTCGACAGATTACTGAAAATCAGGATTTTCAAATATTTTTTTAACACCTATGGTTTTTTTGGTCTTTTTTTATAATATCAAGTGACGCGACGAACGAATCGTGCGCCTGATGGTAAGCTACACCTACAAGCATGTCCATAACAATAGCAATGCCACCCAGAGCTTTAAATCGCTAAGATCTGAGGGGCACTGCCACTACGCCCATCACCCTCAGACGTAAGTTGACAAGTCCCATGTGCCCTTCAAAAATTACTGCTTGGCGGCAGAAATAGGTAAGGTGGCAGTCCTTCCCTGGACGAACTCTTTCACAAGGAACTCCACTGCGACATAATTAAAAAAATAAGTAATTTAATAAATTTATATTGATCGAAGATAGCGACATCAACGTAAGCAAGTGGTTACTGAAAGCTACCGACTGAGTAAGAAGGTTCCACAGATTCACAGATGTCGTTTACGGCGTTGAATGCCGAAAACCTCAATGCATACATATAACAGACACATAGAAGAATTTCGTCGACTTGGTAACTCGAACTGTAGCTTAGTTGGAAAAGCAATAAGGACAGAATCCCGTGGTCGCAGGTTCGAGTCCTGTCAGGTCGAAGGTTTTTTTAATTTGATCTTTGTATTTAACAATTATAGCAAACTAATGGAGTAATTTCACAAAATAAAACAAGTCAATAATAAAGATATTTTTATTCCACTTTAATGGGTAATCAAATATTAAAAAACAAAAATACTTTGATCCCTAGACACTTTTGATGTGTATATTTGTTATTCTGCTAAAATTTTGTTGCCATGCCAGTTCAATAGTGTCAGTGAAATGGCAGTGATGACATTCATTCATTCAATCCCTAGCGATAGATGTTGCCTTACTAAAACTAACATAGAAGTTACTCTGCATATTTTAAATTTTATTTCCTTTAGTCAACAATTTAGTCTTCAAATTAAACATATATAACAGTGGCGAGGCGTGAAAAATGTTGTTAGTAAAGCCGGAGAAAAACAAAAAACACCCACCTCTAGAAAAAGCGACTTGGCGACACTTAAATACAACTTATTAGCACATAAGGTACTAGTAATTTTTTTTTTCACTGGTTAACTTATTCTACACGTAAAATTTAGAACTAAATGTAATAATATTTGATAATACGTGGAAAATTTTAGGCAAGCCGGTGGAAATCGAGTTATATGGATGCCTCGCCACTGATATGTAATATTAGTAGACTACGCCGTCGACGCGCTACTAAAAATATAATGCAGTTGAATAGTAGCTCGACTCTTAACTTTTAGTCTCTTAACTTTTAAACTCTTAACTTTTAAACTCTTAACTTTTAGAATACTAGACGTACAAAACCCTACCATTGACACTCCATCTACACACAACTGAGATGATTTAAAATTAGCAGACTTAGGGCCCAGGTAATTGGTATAGTTGTCTGGCACATTATTGTTCTAGCACTAAGTAAAGCTGTATCACGTGGCACAAAAGTTCATGTAACTCAAAAGCGACTATAAGGTACCTTTACTTGCCTACTATCAGATATTAGTACTTTTACATTATGCACTAGAAGGTTGACAAGTTAGATTAGAACCTTGCCTTGTTGCGGCATTTTAAGGAGCAAATTCCTTCCATTCTATGAAATGAACAACGACGTCAAAAGTTAACACTAGCGCTATCATTTTCAAGGTTTAAACGTTAACTTGTCAACCTTTGGTAACCTTGGTTGAACATTATGTATTTGAAAAATAAATTATTTTTTTAAGTATTTATAAAAAATGCCCATTTTTGAGCTTTCGACGTTGAAACGCTTATGTGTTAGTAAAGCAGCTTATTTTATTCGTTTGCTGTCCATGAGATGGTATTTATGTAAGTATTTTATATATAAGATGTAGTATTTATGTAGTATGAATGTTGTTTATGTGTTTACCGTTGTAATTATCATCGCTCTCCTCACTAACAACCTTATTTGATATTTTTGTCGTCACTGCTTAAGTCGTACGATCATAACGTTCAAAAGAAACATTCCCAATTAAACGAAGTAAGTCAACTTGTTTTATACCGGATTATTTTGTAAAATGATAACAACCTCGCAGGATTATATTACTAACATCATAAACAACATCTTTTGTTCCATAACTTCTAGTAATTTGAATAGGCCGCTCTAAACATTGATAACTCTTTGCGATATGATGCAAAACGCAGTGCGGGGGTGGGGGTTGTCGTTGCTTATTTCAACTTACAGCCTTCCTACTAAATACAGATCAAAATAGTGTTCGATAGCACAACAAAAACATAAAGTTTATTTTTGGTAAATTTATTACGTGCAAAAAGTCATGGAAAAGAAGTTGTTGTTTATGATGTTAGCAATGTAGCCCTGCCAGGTTGGTAACATTTTTACAAATAACCCTATGTAATATAACACTACTTGTTTTCTCGTCTGACTCCATGCAAACGTATCAAAGCAGACTGTATGCGTGCGAGCCCTGTGGACGCCGTGTATGGACGCACACATTCGCATAATCTTGTGGTGCACTCGAGTTGCATATCGCAGGTCATCCTAGGCGCCATTCATTATAGAATTGAATCATTCGCTCCGTGTTTAAAAAATGATATCAAATAGTAGACGTCCTTATTGTTTGTGTTTGAACAAGAATATCTCAAATTCAGAATTGTTCAGCATTTTAAATTGTCGAAAGTCGAAGTCGAAATCGACTTCATGCAGTTAATGCATGAAATCATTATCAACTTCATGCAGTCGAGGTCTTGGCTGCATGAAGTTGATTACGACTTCACGCATTAACTGCAAACACTCAGTCAATCTGTTAACAGCCTAAGTACTACATTTGACAAAGTTTATTTCAATATAACACGAGATTACTGTGTTATAAATACCTTATTTTTCCAAATTATGTTTACAACCTGTAAGTAGAACCATGGACCAATAACTCAAGAGAACACTAGTTTCCATACTGAAGATCGTCACTCTGAAAAAGGTCAAAATTCCATCTTATATCTAATAGTTTATATTATCTAAGTGACCATTGATATCAATTAATTTCCTCTTTAATATGAAATATAACAGTTGCTTTCCTTATAATATTATTCAAATATTGATAATAAGCTAAAATTATTCTCTAAACTTTGACAAATATGCGTGTCAGTAGATGGCATTGTGTGTTACAAACTATACTTACTTACTTCGCTGGCCCAGCGCATCGAAGTGGATCTTGGCCTCCGACTCTAAGATGCGTCACTCTTCTCTTTTCTGTGCTGCTTTGTGCCAACCGGCTATTCGAAGCTCACACAGGTCTTTGTGGCCTTGGTCGATCCAACGATGTCTAGGACGTCCAACCGGTCTTCTGCGAGACGGTTGCCCCAAACTTGTTAGCAAGATTGTCACAAACTATTTAATTTATAAATTAACGCTTCCTAATATGGGTAGATAGAGCTAATCCCAAACAAATTAAAAGAATAGCCGGCACTATTCATAAAAATCTGTGCAATAAGCGTTATCAAGTTGATTTGTTTGTTATCACTAGAAATTAGAATAGCTTTGATAAATTGCAACTTGTCAATGTAAAACAAATTAGTTACAAAAATAGCAATTTGGTACTAGTCGCGCCATCAGGTGTTCCAATAGGCGATTACCAGTTCTCTTGAGTTTTTGGTTCATGGTAGAAATAAAATAATAATATGACATTACGCTCCAAGCGCCTTGTCGGCATTGACGCGCTGAAGAGGCGGGAGTGGCAGTACTTGTATTAAACTATGCTACAACTATGCTTTAAAAACTGCCTAATGGTAAGTACCGGTTAGTAAGGGGAGCGACGACATGATTACAAAAACTATAGTAAACGGATTTCAAATAACTCAGATTTTAATAAAAGCCACCCACGATTATACGCGAGACGTCAAAAACGCGAAATGTCCAAATAGCATTCTGCACGTACGTGTATATAAGTCAAAATTAATAAAAAGTTCAAGTTTCATTCGTTTGTTCACCACCTCGTCAGATGGAAAAAACCTTGACCAAGAATGTTCACCCATAACAGTCGTCTTCTAAGCTTTTGACTCCAAAGTACAGATTACACCATTCTAGAAATACAAATGCATGTCTCTATCTATCATGTTATACAGAATATTACGACATATTGTTGTTGGGAAAGTGTTTAGACATTTGTTATGTAATGACGAATTTGTGAGAGTGATAACTGAGGGGAAGATAGAAGGGAAAAGAAAGAGACGAAGATGTATAGCTAGCAGTAGCGAGAATGGTGTATAGCTAGCAAATAAAGAAAGATCAAAGTGACAAGCTATAAAGAGGTAAAGGAGCTGTCTAAAACCAAAAATAGTTTGGTCTGAAATAATTTATTTGGAAACACATTGTGCGTTTTCAAAAAACTTTTGCTGCTGACATTCAGTGTTTTTGTATGATACATTTTGACGTCCTGCGTTTTTGACGTTCTGCGTACAATGCATCACCCTTTTTAATAAACTCTGGTGTTGGGAGATAGTATACAAATATAGCTTACTCACTTTACATCATAACTGACTAAAGCAACATAGATTCGCTAGGTCCTTAGTATCGAATTTTCGCGCTCTAGAAATGGCAATGCGACACGGCGGAGCGTATGATGGCGGAGGTGGGGGCGGGGGTCTACAGGGTGCCCCACAGGAGCAGAGCTGCCTCGAACAGCTGCTGTGCGCTTTGTGTGGACCAATATGCAAGGAAGTCGGCATCGATTTGCAACAAGTCACTCAACAACAGGACCAAGTACACTTGAACCAGCCACAACCACAAGGTATAAGCTAGTCGACAATACTTATAAAATTGCATGGTTGATAGCTTTGAAATACTTGAAGAATCACTCTATAACTCAAAACGTGGACGCGAAGTAAAGGTGGTAAAGTTCATTCATAGAACAAGCGCGTTCTATACGTCACGATAGCTTGGTTACTATATGGGTACAACAAATCAACCTTGTTATACACCACTAATCATGGGAATAGGGTGTTCGAAATAAGTAAATAAATGTCTAAAAATAGGCACAAGGAGTGAGTGAGTGGGGTAGTTAAAACCACCAAATGTTAATTAATTACCTTTTTCGAATACCACATTTCAAAACAGTAATTAATTAATATTTGGTGATATTATCCACTCTATGTCACTCCTTGTAACTATATGTAGCATTTATCTATTCATTCGGAACACCCTATTCCGACCATTGTAAATCACGATAGCTTGGTCACTACGTCGATCTGCCAGATCAAGCGCGCTCTATACGTCACGATAGTAACATAGACCTGCTAGATTAAGTTTGTTCAATACATCACGATATCTTGGTTACTATACAGATCCGCCACATGAAACTCTTTCTAAACGTCACGATAGTTTGGTTACCACTTAAATTGTAACAGATAGAGCTCGTCCTATACGAGTACATCACAGTAGTGTAGTTACTACGGAAGAAAAAAAACAATGCCTTGAGCCTTGATTACTTTCAGACCCGCTGTCGCCAAAACTCACGCAAAGACACACATTTTTCAAATCTTGATAATGATTGGTTTCTAATTTAAAAAGATGGGATAAATTCTGGACTGTTAATATAATTTTTACTTTACTTACTTTACTTTTTGTTTGTAAGGAAAGCCGAAACAATTTTATGAGAATTTTCTATAGTTATACAAATAAAGGCATCCCAGTAAAAGGACTCACCGGACGGTGTTTGAAGCAATCTTCTCGCTAACCATAAAGGAAAACATCATGGTGAAACTTGCTCATCGAAAACAGTTTAGAGCCCTTGGAAAACGTATCAAGGTTCCAACCCGCGTTGGTCAGCGTGACAGACTATGTCCTAAACTCTCTCATTATAGAGACCTGTGTCTGGCAGTGGGACATATGATAGAATAAAAGATGTGTGTATTCATGAGTATAAATAAAACCCTAGAGTATATACATTAGTATTTTATATTTTTCCAAATTAAATAACTAAAGCACTTGTGTTATGGAAATCGGAAATAACGACGGTACCAAAAACACCCAAAGCCAAGACAATATAGAACCCCAGAGATGTTTGGGGCCTCGGTCTGGGTTATGGCGACACTCTGAAAACTGGTGTGCAAGCCGCTCGACCACGGAGGTCGTTAAATAATTGTCCTCAAATAAAATATATATCTTAAACAAAAGATAATTACATGCAATTGTCCACCATACATTACAATACAATACAAAATTTCAATAATTTCTAATAATATTTTTTAAGTTTTTTACAGGGAACGAGAAACTACAGAGCATGCTACGATTTGCATTTTCTTCTCGTCTTTTTTATAGAAATGGAGGCAATAACTAATGTCTGTTTTTGTGCACGTGAACTTTTAAGTTATTGTGTGTTTTTTTACAGGTCCTAAAATATACCATGTGTTATTTTAATTACTATATGTTGATTATGGAATAATGCTTTGTAACAAAAGCAACAGACCTTTATTACACCACACTATTATCACGTTTGATAATAAGCTAAAAATGTTCTACCTTTTAAATCACCCCTATTTTATAGAAACGATTTTGATACTTCAGTCTCATTTTCACTTTGCATTATGTTAGTGCAAAGCATTGTTTTATATCTTATTGTAATCCTAATCGATGCAACTAACACCTGAGCAAAATGTAGACATTTTCAATTTGAAATTGAAAATCTTTACATTCACAAAAGCTTCAGCATGCTCTATACATAATTTTCAATGAAACGCAAAAATGGGCATTAAAAAATATTACTATTTATAACTTATCATAAGTCACCTCCATTTCCATAAAAAATATTTTTAAGATTTTTTCAACAAAGGCTTAAAAGTTACTTTCGTACCTCGAAATTATGGCGCTAATATACACGTTTGTGTTGTCATTGAAAAAAATTCGCAACTCTGTAGGGGTGTAAAAATAACTTGTCTGCCATTTTTTTTTGTTTCTACAGCAAATTAATGTACCTTCTATTATAATAAAATATATTAATTTATAGTTTTGTTTCAACAGAATTAAAAGGGCAAGGATTCTCCAAAGACGTATGCCGAAGCATGATCGCCATGTTGGATAAGGATAATTCTGGTGGCCTTGGCTTCGAAGAATTTAAGTCACTTTGGGTTGATCTACGTAACTGGAGAGTGAGTTACTTGTTAAAACTACACAACCAAAACACACTAATTAATACATGTGCAAATTTTGCTTAATACTTCTTTCGAGCTTGTACTGGGCTGTATTAGCTACTTTATCAGTTAAATTACGAAATTGTTATTCGTTTTTGCAAAATAAAAACATTTTGTTTAACACTGAGTGGCGTTTTAAGTACACAGATTTTAAATAATAAATAAATTTTCAATGTAAAGAACCAAGTTAATTTGGGGTTAAAAGTTACAAATGTGCGATGAAATTGCACGATTTTATTCCACCTTCCCTTTTCCATCATTGGAGAACTAGAAGTAGGCTGGCATTCAACCCAACGGCTATGGAGTGGAATTCTCGGCTTGTAGAATTTTTCTCTGGACGTCATAACTTGGGCCTTTTCAAGACGAGAGTGAATGGTGGTCGATCGTTGACCTCATCGTCACTTTCCATCTGTTGAGATGGAGGTCAAATGCGCACTTATTCTTTTATAACAATAGAACTCTAATTTGAAATCCAATTGTATCCTTAAACGGGATTTATTACAATGTAAATTGAATGTTTAAAAAAATAAAATGTCAAGTATTTTTAATAAAAATGAAATTAAAAAGAAGCTTCTTTGATATTGAGTATCCTGTGTCAAAATTTTAAAAAAAATTGCCTTCTTTTTCCTTTAGGTCGTGTTCAGACTGTACGACACCGAAGGTCGTGGCGCAATCCCAGCGCACAATCTACGCGACGCGCTTCACTCTGCAGGGTACACTGTCAATGCTCACACTCTTAACGTTTTGGCTCACAGGTACGTAATACTACACTGATCGTTCCTCTACAGACGTTAAAAAGTAATCGGTTTCTCACGAAAACACAGTTCTAAAAAGAAATGTCTTTACTTCGGAAATTTAAACATAGGATTCGTTGCAATTTTTCATTTCGCTCTGTATTTCAATCTCATTATTACTTAAAGACGGTTACATACAGTTTTGGGCTATTTCCTGTTATTTGGCAGTGCTCACGCAGATCGTTCACCACCACAACTTATATGAAGAATATTTTTCACTTTTAAATAGCTATTCTTTAAAGCACTTTTCGGTCATTCTAATATAATTTTTTTCTCGTAAGTATTCGATTTTTTTATCGTGCAATATTATTTAATATTCGAGCATTGTATCGTGAAATATTATTTAATAATTACAAAATAATATACTTGAATATTTCAGTAATAAAAATTGCTACGGGAATTAGGTACTGAACATTAGCCCGAGAATAACCGTTTTTATTTTAAGTGCAAAAGTTCTAATTTTTTAGTGTTATATTGTTTTTTTTCTAAATTATACTACAGATACGGTTCCAGTGACGGTTACATCGCTTTCGACGACTTCATAATGTGCGCAGTCCGACTCAAGTCTATGATTGGTAAGAATACCATTTAGTTTTTACTATTGTATATCTTTAATTGTTGTCGAAAATAGATAGTTTTACGAGAATTGCATGCATGTTGAAAATGAATTTTCAGTGTTGAATATTATTTTTGGAGGACTCTTTATTGTTATTGAATATTCATAGTAGTTCAACCTAGAAAAAGATGGTTTAGCGAGGATTATGCATGACACTAATTGGACATAGTTAAACATAAAGGATCCAATGCACATCCAGTCAATTTCGAAATATGGCAGTTTGAAGTTTAAAAATGTTTCTCAGTCTTGTTTTATTTTCCAAACTTATAATGTCATGTATCTCCAGAGATATTTATTTATGTGTTGGATTTTTACTGATCTAAGAGATTAGACTTTAGGAACCGTTTGGTACATGTAACTAATTTTTTGTGGATTGGATCATTTTTACATAATCACGTCCAATTGATTTTTAGGTGATCTTATTACATGAGACCGATTTGTTTTAAGGTACGAATAGTCATATCTTTTTCCAAACTCTCAATGCGATGTTTTACAAAATGATATAGTTATTTCCAATTTAAATCACGTTAGTATAGGTTCTGTGGAAAATTTAACACTTCGTATTAGCATTAATTTATATTAGTAATAAATAAATAAAAAAAAAAGAAACTGCAATACTTAGTAGTGACATGACCGTTTAGTACATGATTATGAGAAAAATAAATATCAAATTATTCTAACTTACATCATATCAAACAAGGCCATAGTTGAACAGAGGCCTTTCCGAATCAGAGTATTTATTATAATCTGCACGCTGGATAGGCGGGTTGGCGATCGCCTTAGGGACCCCACACACTAGCGTCTTTCGCCAAAGCACGTACAACGTTGACACGACGTCCGCGCAATCACGACGCAACGCCAGTGCGGCGTATACCCCTACATTCAGCACTATTCAGCAGTCGCTCAGTGCTGACGTTGCGTCCACAAATTAGTTAAGATACTAGATTGCGTCGCCGCCGCGCGTACGTCATGTCGACGATGTGTGTGCGTAGACAAGATGCTGACGTTAGTGTGGGGGGCATCCTAAAGATGCAATCCACACATGGAGACACCGCTTTATGTTTTTCATTTACAAGTGTAATTATCGGAATGGACCGAGAGCATTTACGTAAACTTCAAGAAAGTAGTACACTTAGAGTGGGTAATACCTCCCCATGAAATCCCGGAATTATTACTTTGTATTTTGTTGTAAATTTTGAAAGTATAACCTGGTATACTTTACAGAGTATTTAGAAGAAAAGTTTTGTGATTGTACGCAAAAATATTTTTAATCATTCCGATTTTTAGGAGGTAATTTTTTTTATGATAACGGGTTGTTATCATAAAAAAAAGTGCGCCTCGCCCATAACAGTTACAGTGCCACTCAGAGCATTAAATTATGAAGATCAGAAGGGCACTGCCACTGCGCCCGTCACCATGAGACATAGTTGACAAGTCCCGTGTGCCTGTAATTTCACCAGTGCCCTTACCCTTCAAAATCGGAACGCAGTAATGCTCATTACTGCTTGGCGGCAGAAATAGATAAGGTGGCAAGACTTCCCTGGACGAACTCTTTCACAAGGAGCTCTACTGCCACTAAAATGAAATTATCCAACCTATATGTTGTTACTTGAAGTTGGGGTACATATACTCTGCCTATCTTGATCTCTGACGAAAATTTACACCCTGAAACACGCAGTATTTCTCACTGATAACAGTAAAAGTTATCAATTGCATTATCTATTAATATTTTTTTTTTATTTCGTTTAATGTTACGTACAGTTTGAACTGTATTTTATGGATTATTTTTATTACAGTCACTAGGTTTATTTAGTAATTAAAGATAGGTAGTATCTTTGTTAAAATAAAACAAAATAATAAATAAAATATTAACCACAACGCAGCGAACAACGAACCGCTCGAAAACCTCGAGCGCGAGCAGCAATGGGGTCCGTGAACAACGGTGGAACGCTGACGCACAAGTATTATTTATGATGTGGCCACTTTTGCATTCGGCTGCCACAACTCACTAAGGCTTAACAGGAACGTTAGTACAATTACGGTCAAATTTCGTTAATGCAAAGTAACTGGCGGTTCAACTTTTAAGGATTGACGAAGCTACTTTTTGCCCCTGATATGACGTACGAACCCTGCGACATCGTCGTTTTGGGCCTGAGGTGTGCAAACGCATAAAGAGTTATGACTACCAAGTTATGATAAGCGATTCCAAAAGACCACATGCCAATTTTCGGCCAGTGTTTTTCGGCCGCCATTTTAAAAGCGCCATCTTGACTATTTTTACTAAGACGTTGACATTGTATGACATTCCTTTGAGTATTCCTAGCTATCTCTGTTAGTTTCATAGAAAATAGAAAACTTGAATTTGCAAGGCGGCCATCTTGTTTATTTGAATTTTAAACATTTTTGTTTTTCAGTAGAATCTACCGAGGTTATATTTTTTTTATAATATCGTGTCGGGACGCACAAGTCGTGCGCCTGATGGTAAGCTACACGACTGTCCATAACGGTTGCAGTGCCACTCAGAGCTTTAAATTGCAAACATCTGAGGGGCATTGCCTCTGCGCCCGTTACCCTGAGACATAAGTTGATAAGTCTCACGTGCCTGTAATTTCACCAATATTGTATAACCACCAAGTGTCATAGTTTTCAATTTTTATATTTTTTAGTCAGCGAGAATTTACTTATTAATAATGCGGCGTTGCTATGAAACCCCACCGACAATACAAGTCATTTCATACTCAGACGCTTTTAGTATTGGCACAGTACTGAAGAACTTTTACTTATGTACTTAAGTTACCTGTAATAACATTTATTTTGAATAGGCAATCACATGATTCTTATATTTTCGTTTAATACAAAAACACCAGTTACATTGCTAAAGAATGGATATTATTCGCAGAACGTCCAAAAGGCGTGTCCTGTCTAGCCTTCAATCATTATTGTTTGCGACAACATCCCACTTTTTATTTTTTTTTAATACTTAAAGTATTATTTAAAATAGTGAAACATATTTTTTTACTATAATATTTGATCGCAAACAGTATCTACTTCCACATTACTTTGAACTTTTTACTTGATGTCTGTTTATTATTTGATTTTTTATTTTATTATTTTCATACTTATCGAAATCTATTAAAAATAATACATCTCGTAAATCGTTCAAAACCACGCACTAACACGCTTTGTCTAATCTATGTAACTTTTCGCGCCAATTTTTTCTTTTTTTAAAATATTTTTTTATAAAAATTCACAGAAACCTTCAAAGGGCGGTCTTCCGGAGGGGATTACGCCACTTTCTCCCTTGACGAATGGTTGAATCGCACAGTCTACTCATAGTGATGTAATTATAATCTTAAAAAGGTGGGACAATCACACTGTTACACAGCAACAGTTGCTACAAGTAACATTTAAATTTGAAATATTCACGATCACGTATTAGGTTCCTGTGTTTGAACTGCAATTAAATAAGTATATCAACTCATTGAATACAAAAATCTTATTATGTATTTACTACAACCATGCTAAAATTGCTCGATGTATTCTAAATCTTACTAAAAACAATCGCCATTTTTCATTCATACTGGTGTAAGGGAAAATTAATACCTCTCGACACCTAATACTCAACACTCTGGTTGCTTAGTAATGCAATCTTCTTTCTAGTTCTGTTTTCTAGATGAAATATTATATTGTCTTGATGTCCCATCTAAAGAGTATCTACAATATGTATCTTGCTTAAAAGAAACTATTTACTCACTTTCAGGAACCTAGTACCAAATAACTGTTACTGAAGCAACATTATCCTGCCTCTATGAAATGCCTTATTAATATTTATAAGGCCTAATGCCATAATTTAAGGCCTATGGTACACATTTTTGTAACGCACATTGTCGACTAGCCAAAAATGTATAAATAAAATTTATGCTTTGTATGGTCATTATGATAATAAAATATGTTATTGGAATATTGTTTTGGTTGGGTGAATTTTTTTGTTCTAATTTGAATTTCATTTCACACTATATAACCTGATAGTTGTACTATTAGAAGTACATATACACACCAATTATGTTTTATTCCTAAATTTGATTTACCCAGAATCAAACCTGAGACCTCACTCACTATTTAACTGAACCATTGTGTGAACTTGTTATTAATAACACATTTTATTTGTTTTATATTGATTTATGTTGTTAATGAAATGATTAAAAAATTCACTCAAGTATAAACATGTATTGTCTAAAACTTAAATTATATGAGTCACAAAAAAAAAATTGTAATAATAATTACTTATCTCAAATTCATTTATCTGTGTTGTGACTTTAATTATTTTTCTAATCAATGAATACGGGTATAATCATTATTTTCATTATTATTAATTGACTAACTCGTATTTTAAAATTTGAATTTCTTGTTGTTGTGATTTGTATTAAATCTATGTACTGTCTACATTTTTTGCTATAATTTTTACGACTATTATGCCTTAAATCAACAAAGTACAATATGTAATAGTATAAAAGAGCAGTATTTTTTATTCCACCGAGTTTCCATTCCAAACGTTATAATAATGTGGACATTATTAATATCAGTCTTACTCATAATCCTATAATATGTCAATAGCCATAATTCTTAATCTGCCAATGGTTAGAATCCGTTGACATTTGTCCAAATTTTATGAACAGGTTTACATAATTTCATTATCTTACGATTATTTTCATCGTCTAATTGTTTAGTTCTGTGCGATTTTTAACTCTATTTCAAAGGCGCTTCGATATTTTTCTCAATGTGTATTTATTTAAGGTTAATATCATTCAAAAATTCCAATATCTGTTGCATTGAAATGCATTTTATTGCAATTATTTATTTTTGGTTTTTTTTATATCCCGATGAAATTTGAATAAAATATTTTCAATCATTAATATCTATTTTGTTTTCTTTTCATCCAAAGTGGACCTACCACAACGAATTGAAACACATACAAGCTAGGAGAAAAAAGCAAAACAATACAAGAATTAAGAATATTATATTCCAGCGGGACCACGGAATTTTACTTACTAGTCAGGTAAAAAGTCGGCTCTAGTCGCAAGAAACGTAGGTTCAGTCGGTCCGCCATTTCAAAATTATGCCATTATGACGGTGTTGTACTGTAGACTCTGTAATAAGCTTATTCCCGAGGTACCGTTCATCAATCTTGAGAAACACAGCATCTAGCTTAGATCAAATTGCTTTTAAAAAGTTGTGGTTTAGTCGGTTCTAGTTGTAAAAAAACTAGATTCAGTCGTTACACCGTTTTAAAGTTATAAGGATGGTTTACTGACCACACTGGAACCACCACCACCATTTTTCGTTCTCTTTTCCGTTAAGGTAGAAGACTGTAGCCTTCCACTTGCTACGATCCTGATACACACAAACCTCATCCTTTTTATTTGAAATTTTGAATTTGGCTACTTTTTGGGTTTACTGCCTCTGTGACCGAGCGGTTATCATGACTGACACACCGAGGTCCCAGGTTCGATTCCGGGGCCACCGGGAGAAATATTTGTATGGCCTACATTTATTTCTCTCGTGAGTTTAGGTGTAATTTGTGGTTGTCTATTTGTGTGTCCATGGCAACCGCGACACAGGGTTTCCCTAGTGCGGGGCTATGTTGAGTGTGTGAGTGTGTGCGTTATTATTACCTTTTGGGTAGTCGTCAGGACCAATTCGCATCACTACGCGAGAAGGCACGCGTAGTCGCGGGAATGCAACATTTCGCGAGCATTCCCGCGGCTTCTCATGACTGTGTCTTGAGGCTGTAGGTTGGTAACTTAGATATTGTTTTTATTTCGCTTAGTTGTAAAGCAGAAGAATAAGAGAAAAAGAAAAAGAACAAAAAAAGGAAAAGAGATATTTGAGTTCATGATTTATGGAAGAAACGAAAACTTTTTGGACAATTTGAAATATTTTGCAAAAATTATCTCTATCCTACTATTTTTTATGATTATTACAAAATGGAGTTTCATAAGTTGCTGTATAATACTACAGAAACATATAATTTAGAATTTTTGTCAACAATCTTATTTTTGCACCAAATAGTTTTCACTCTTCTACGCTCTACCGTCCTCTTCGGTTGTCTGATATACTTATATTAAACATACAAAAAAAACAATCTCATGCCTCAGATTTCACTCCAACTCGTTTACTGTGTCTGCTATCCGACTTTGGAAATTCTCTCCCTGAATCAATTCGACGATCTCCTTCTCTTGATTCCTTCAAACAACGCGGACGTGTTAAGGAACATTTCCATAACTACTTTTTTGATTAGTGATATAATCGTCCTTTGTTAATTTATTTATTATTGTTACTACTTATAATTTATTTTATTATCCTTCAAAAATATATAAGTTACCTTATTATTATATATTAATATTTATGTACACGTTCTAATAAATGTATTATTATTATTAAATTGTAACGGAAGTTAAGTCGCCATGTTGATCAGCTCGCCAGTAGAAGTATTCTTGGGCCATAAGTCACTTCCATTAATCGCCCTGCGATAGCAGCGCCACCTTCAATCAATCCGCCGCCTTTCGATGGGGGAAGTGGAGAGACGTAGGCAGCTAGCCTATATAAGCCTTTCAATTTAATTTTACAATATTTTTTGTTTAGAAGCACCTGAATAAGCTATCGCTTGAATAAAAAAGTAATAAAATACTTGGCAATCTTCACTTCATCGTCTTATTTACCGCCCCTCTGTTTATAATATTTATATAATGGTTCTAAAGTTATAAAGTTCTAATCTGGGACCTCTACTATTTAATATCTTTATAAACGACATTCCACAGTGCTTTATTCATTCTACACCGTTTGTATTTGCTGATGATTTACAATTTGGTAGAATAATTGAATCTGAGCGTGACGTGTCTTCTCCTGCGGTCTGATCTTGACAGATTGTCTAAATGGTGTGTCGATAATAAGATGTGCTTAAATATTACGAAGTGTTTATATATAACTTTCACTAAGAGACTGAGGGATGTATCTTCACAGTACACTGTATCTGATAAGCCACTGAATGAGGTTGACAATATCTGTTTCGACCGCAAGCTTACATTTAGGGAGCATATAGATGCAGTTGTTAGGAAGGCCTCACAAATGTTAGGTTTTGTGTTGAGAAATGGTAAGGGGTTTCGCAAGTGTTCTACAAAAATATTACAATATAATGATCTGGTTCGTAGCCTCCTGGATTACTATAGAGCCGTCTTGAGGCCACATTTTGCTACACACTCATTGCGTATTGAGAGGGTGCAAAAACGTTTTGTTTGGCATTTGTCATACTCTGTGAGTATGGGAGGGAGGCGGTATTCGTATGCCGATCGACTTAGCAGATTAAACATGGTATCTCTGACCAGACAATTGGACATTCGTGATCTCATCTTCCTGTATAAATTGATAAGAGCTAAAATTAATTGTCCCCAATTATTGAGGATGATTTCACTTAAGGTACCTTCAAGTTAGCCACGACACGCAATTGCGACACTATGCATACTGTACAATGATTGCAGTGAGCTTGTGGATACATTTGGTGCATCACTAACCTGTTACCAGGCACTTACGTACTTACTTACGTACGGAACTTCATTTTAGGTGAACTATAACTGTGGCAACTTCATGCCTTATTTGTAATATAGTACCCATAACTATAGTTGTACAAGTAATTTTTATTTATGTTTGTTAACATCTTACTTTCTTTCTATTAGTAATGTTTGTCTTTCTATATTTGGTATTAAAAAAATATATTTTATTACATGTTATATATGAATGAAAAGTGTGAATAACTGTATATATTATGTATATGTATAAATAATTAACTGTGTTTGACTGCGTTGCTTGTGGTGGCAACCTTTAATTGGGTCAACACTTTAGCATTACTCCGTTTGAATTGTATAATCAAAATTGTATGTATTAAGTGTATGGCTTAATGGTTGTCCTAAATAAATAAATAAAAATAAACAATATTTACTTTATTGATGAGTAGTGTACTTATTTAAAACGCTTTCTTTTCAAGATATGCTTTGGCTGCACCCCCTTTCCAACTCTTAAATTTCTATCCTAATGTTGTCTGGAAGAAACTGCTAGTTAGCAATAAAGCCGCTTGTTGTACACTGGCTTACTCTGTGATAGTTACATTACTGTTCTGTGTTGTCATTGTAATTTTAATGTCCAATAAAGAATATTTCATTCATCCAAATAGATCAACTTTTCGTCTGAATCCATTGTTTTCTGGCACGATACGTACACAACTTATTTCGTAGACGCATGACGTCGTCGCATTACAGCTGTGTGGAATTCCCGCGAATGCACGAGCATTCCTGAGAATGCGTGGGCATTCCCGAGCACGACCTGTTTTTTGACTCGTATCTAGTTTGTACGTTACACAATTGAACATAAAGTTCATTATGGTGTGTACAATATCGTTATAAACACGTTACGCCGTATTGTAAATTGAGCCTAAGTGGCCTAAGAGACATCCATTAATAAGTCCCCAATATGCAGACAGAACTGCCCCAAGAGCGTTGTTAGCACCTTAGAGAATAGAAGTTGACACTTAAAATCATCTAGACTTAGAAATGGCTTAGGAAGATTAGGAATTAAGCTGTTAATTTCAGAGAAACGATGAAATTGGATATGATAATAACACAATTCCGAAAGAAAAAAACTTACCCAAAGTGGGTATATAAATATATATCCGCGGTATAAATATTTACGCAGTTACTACATCAAATATTATATGTATACATTACATACAAACACAACTCTCCTTATCCCACAAAACAATAAAAACTAACTAAAATCGGGAAAAATAGCGCTCCTATTCGGAAGTTTCCCGCGGTTTTAAATGATTATAGTTGTTAAAAGTTTTCCGGAAAGGTGAATGAACGGAAAGGTGAATGAACGAAAAGCAAATAAGTAGTATGACAGTTTTTTCCATCCTCTAAGAACAGAAGACAGTATAATTTGATGCCCTGAGTTATAGGTGGACATTTTTTTCCATCCTAGACAAAATGATACCATAAATTTAAAATGGATTTAAAGCACTGAAAATCATACTCAAGTCCTTGCCATTAGGGTCGTATTTCCAGTGCTTGAAATCATATTCAATGAGCATTTAGTGGAATACGACCCTTAGAAACATTTCCTTCAATAATAATATGTTCATAACATTCGTGAAATTATTAACAGTGTGATATATTTACTGTTGAGTAATTTTCCGAAAAATTTCAAATAGTGGAAATTTTCCCGGAAAAATTAATATAATTGGAAAAATATTATGTTTTTCGTTTAGAAATATCTTTGAAGTTTTATTTAGCGTGAATTATAAAATAAAATTGTGTAGCTAACGCCTAGAGAAAAACGAGATTTAAAATGATTGGATAACAGCAAATAAAGTTGCTTTATTTTTTTCCTTCCTCTACTCTAGAGTGTCTTCAACTTTTAACAGATGTCAGGATTCGCTCTGGGACTTTTGGAGGGAAAAGTGTCGTTTTTATTTTGACTTGAGAATGGAAAAAAGTAAGGAAAAAAAAAAAGTTGTTGTAGACTCCATTATGACTCAATTCGTTTTCTTTGACGTTGACGGTGCTGCTGACTGATCGAGTTGTCATTGTCAATTTGCCGTTCCATTTCCATTCATTCTATAAATCACCTATAAATATAAATATTGGGACAGAAGCCAAATACCCAAAAAAAAAAAAGAAAAAATATTTCTGTGTGTGTTGTGGTATGGGAGTAGTCGGCGTTGTTAATTATATTGTTCTGTGTTAATTACAATAAAATTATTATATTGTGATTATTCTCCTCAAAGACACCACACAACAGAGTATCAAGATGTCTATTATTGCTGTTAAGAAGATACCATTTCGTGTAAATATTCATTTAGAATTTTCAGTGGCCGACAATTGTATGTTCATAATAAATTGTAAATTATTTCAGTGTTCGTTGCCAAATTTGGTGAAAATGGTAGCGAAGATAATTAAAGGGCAGTTTGAAGCGTTGAATTTCGCAAATGACAAGCATGGAGAAAAACTATGTTACCTTCGATTGTCGGAGAGGTTAGACCCTCAGCAAGTTGTGGAGCGCATCCAAACGATGACTAAATTCGGTGCTTTTATACCCGATCATGTACCAGATGTAAGTATTTAAGATACTGTAACGTCGAGTTACGGATCGCTGTCCATTACTCAACACCATACCCTGGAATAACATTATGGTGTATGGCTTAACTGGCTGTGGTTTACCTGGTGTACGCACTCGACGCCGATTTTGCGTATGATGGATGCAGGGTGTCCTACTCGTACCCCCCGAGCTCCTCCAGCGCTTTCAGCATCTTTCTGGATTTGTTGAGGACATCACGGAAGCAACCTTGATACTCTAGTGGTATATCACCATGCCAAAGCATTTTAGTAGGATGTGTGTGTCTGTTTCCTGCCCTTCCATGCTCATTCTGCAGTCAGGCAGACAGGCTGTTGTGATTTTAGTTTCAACAATTGATATTACTATAACTAATGATCTGTTTCAGCTTCCATTGGCATCAAAGCGTGGTAGGATACCGTTTAAGTTGCGACGCTCTCTCAAAATACAAAAAGAAACAAAACCTGAAGACGTAAGTCATATTTTTTATCATAATCAAAACTGACTTTACTGCTGCAGTATGTAATTGCAATTGCACTTGGTCAAAGTAATGAGCAGGGTTAAAATACAATAGGAAAGTGAATAGTAGGAAAGAGATGGTCAATAACATCATCAAGTATCTGGAAAAGATTAGACGGATGTTAAATGATTATCAATAATTACAGGTTTCTTACCCTGTGTTAAGAGTTCTTTTATTTTCCTGATATTTTGGAACAATTGCAGGCCTAATGGTCACGGGTTAACTCATATTCTGGAATAAACCTTTGACCATGGAGCGCATAACCATTCCGAAATATAATAAGAAATCAAACAGTGATAAGAAATTTATAATTAGTGATAATCATTGAGTGAATAGCTACAAATCCTAATGGGCGCGCCGGCGTGTGCGGGTGCGCGGGTCTTGGCGTTTTCCCTTTCACAGTGCCGAATCAGTTACGAGCGGGTAGATCCATACGTCGAAATAGTAAACAAACGCTAGACTAAGCACTGTGAAAGCTACGGGCAGACCCATAGATATAGGTTTTTTTCCATTGCAACGGAACAAGATACGTCAATGTGTAGCTTGATGTGCTGGCGTGTGTGCATTTGATTTAGACGCACCCGCGCCCGCCGCCACTCTGGATAAGGCCATATATGTGTGATTTAATCACCTGAGTTTAAAAGAATTTTCTTTACTAAGACAATTATTACATTAAAACAATAATTAGATTAAAACGGGCCCATTACATTGTGAGAACTATAATATTTATTTATTTTTACATACACAAGGTAGCAACTATCATTACAGGACTAACCTAATGCTAATAGTGTAGCCAAAATTATCACTTTTTCAAAATTATTACTACATTAATATTATTTATTCAAATCATACCTACAAAATTATTATTATACCATGTTATATTACATTACAAACTGTTATTACATCTCATAACACATTATAAATAAAGCTATTTTATTGAACACACACAGAGAACAGGCAAATAGGTCAATTTTTCCCGTCAATAACATTCAAAGTTTTCATTGCTCATGTCAGTGGTGTCCTGTTCAGTAGGTTTGTTTTTCCAACGAGGGATCGCCAACAACTGAGGCCGGCGCTCCACACACCCATTGGAACACACGATTCAAAACCTCTGCATTGCATGTCTTGCCTCTTAACAATTGAAATACACACTATATGCACTGTGTTTAAAAATTGCGAAGATTTTGCCCTGGAACTTTCTGATCTTCTTAACCTATGTTGACGAATAAAATATATTTGAATTGGAACTTGTAAACTGCACCACAGTGCACACTACAAGTAAAAAATTTCAGAACATAATACAGAGTGATAACCAACCACTGACTGTTTTAAAAGAGATTTCTTTTATTTTTCATTTATTTATTTTACAAAAAGTATACATTTTACAGAAGTCTATCTCCCGCCAAACTTGAAACAGTTTGTTGGCGAACATGCTCATACACAATTATAGATCTACTTAATGATTAACTAAGTACCTAGCAGTGAGATGGTGGCCGCAGTGGTCACTTTTTAAAGCGTCAGATTGTCACGGCTTTAACATTCACCCCACACAAAAAAAAATCGCACGGTGTGTGATCGGATAACCTGCCAGGCCAAGCTACTGGTTCGCCTCTGTCTGTCCACCGATCTTCGTACTTACATATTAAAATTTGTCACACGTCGCATTTTATCGTCTACTTCTACGGGCATTCGCTATTGGCCACTTCCGCGCACATGGAATGATAACGTAAACGGGCCGTGGTCGAGAAGGCGTTTTGTTTACCGCTAAAATTGTGCTTCATTGCGAAACCCTTGTATCCAACAAGCTTTGAGCTCGTATACAGCGCAGCTTACGCTCTTCACCTCATATAGTCTTCAAGCTTCATGAAAACTTTACCCAATTTCGATAACCATGTACCATCTCATAATACTCCCGATGAGAATTCATTGTTACGCATGAAACACATACTTGAAAGGGAACAACGAAGGACTAATTGCAATTGTCTAACTCGCTAGCGGTGCGTTTGCGCAGGCTTTGCCGTCGCGTGAGCGCCACAAACGCCGACGCCGCCGGTCGCTCGAGTTTTATTTACTATTTTGAGGAAACCACTCGTTAGAAATTATTGACAAATATTAACATTTTAAAACAGAGATTTTATTTTATTTTATTTCTCTGTTGTGTTGTATTACTGAATCTTATACACAGCAAAAAAAATGGGCAGTGTTTTTTTATCACCCAGTATAGCGAAATTAGCTAGTTAATATCCCTGGTATTAATTTTACACAACATGTTATCTTAGATATAAAATAGGTATAGTAATTCAACTACATAATACTTTTACAGGTTTTAGTAATCACCCATAACGAGATCCTCACAGAGATGCAGAGCAAATATACTGGCTTGTACAATCTTAGCAAGAAAATCGGGCATAAACTTCTGGACAGTATTGCACAGGTAATAAAATTTGTTGCAGTTGTGACAACGGTTCTCATTTCGTCTGTCGCTAGCATATCTAATTTTATCCGATAGATTGGCACGTCGGAAGTATATCTAGTTGACCGAAATTCCTACGATGTGACTGGACCAGCGTATGTTGCCACACCGCGGCTTCCGCTCTTACCAACTAAGCTACAGACCATGTCAGTGGATTTTACGAATTTCTCTCTGTTTTATTATACTATGATTTTTTTAAATAATACCTAGACGAACAAGTCGTGCAGCTGGTGGTAAGCGACACGCCTGTTCATAACAGTTGCAGTGTCACGCAGAGCTTTAAACCACAAAGATCGGAGGGACACTGCCACTACGCCCGTCACCCTGAGACATAAGTTGACAAATCCCATGTGCCTGTAATTTCACCAGCACCATTACCCTTTAAAACCGGAATGCAGTAATGCTTACATTACTGCTTGGCGGCAGAAATAGGTAAGGTGGCAGTACTTCCCTGGATGAACTCTTTCACAAGGCGCTCATTAGTAAAATATTTTTTTATTTTCTTGTGATACTCAAAAAGATGTACAACTGCTAATTTTGTCATCAGACCATCTTCCAGCGTCTCAAGCACATATTGGAAACCAATGAGGAGAGTCTCGTATCGGGTTTCATGTTGAGCAAGTACTACCGCAAGCTGCATCCGCACTTTGGGGACTTCCAATTAATTCTCTCGACATTGCATAAGCTGCAAGATGCAACAGGTGTCCCTCGAGCTCAGTTATCTGAAAGTGAACTTATTGCTGTTGGTTCTCAGCCTTCTGGTAAGTGATTTCGCATTTATAAGCTTGCTTTCACCTAAACGATGACTCTACCTTCAAAGTTCGCAGTAAAAACTGATTTGTAGAGTTTGGTATTTGCCTCCCACTTTTTTATACAAGACTCTTAACTCTGAAGTCTTATACAAGACTGGTTAAAAGGATTAAATACAATGATACCGAAAATTTAGTATCTGTTGTTACGTAATATTAATAATAGTTAAGATGCTAGTAGAATTAAGGGTCGTATTCCAGAACTGTGCTCAATACTCAAGTCAGGACCTGAGTATTGTAGTGACTGAAAATCATACTCAAGTCCTTGCCATTAGGGTCGTATTTCCAGTGCTTGAAGTCATACTCAAGTCTGCTCAAGTCCTGACTTGAGCATTGAGTAGAGTTCTGGAATACGATCGCTAGTATTCATGTTTTATTGTAATTTATTGTTATTGAACAAAATATGTTGACTAACCATCATGCTATAAGCACCGATTTCGATACCTAAGATACAAATAAGCAATTTTGCTTAGTTTGGGTATCACCTAGATTAACTTGCACTACTAACCTTAATTAAAGTTATGTAAATATATAAAATAATATCACTGTTTGCGATAGTCTGGCGCATATATGTAAATAAAAGGTTATTTAAGAAGATTCATATATTTAGGTTAAATTTTTATACAGAATAAATTTATCTTTATCTTATTTGTACCATACAGAAGAGTATTATTATTAGGGTGGCTTCATTCATGGCCTATGCATCCCGTCATCACTGCGACCAATGAGACCATTGACTGATCTATTGTGATCACCACTAATTACAGTGCAGAGCCAATGCCGACGGCATTGATAAACTGAAGGACTTTCCTGGCTCTGACAGATTTAATATCCTCTGGTTGTGGTAGGTGCCTTCCCAGTATGGAACTTCGTACGCCCATCAGGGGGTAGCAATGGATGAGTAGATGAACAGGAGTTTCATCCGCCTTGTTATCTCTCTGCCCAATACTTGACATGTGCTTGTTCAAGCCACAATGCCCTGTCAAAGCTCTAGTGAGCATTCTTACGCCATTACTGTCCAATGACAGAGCTACTCTACAGTGTTTGGCACTGTAGGCAGATATCAGGGCTTTTGAATGTTCAAGACCCTTGCTCTATAGCCACACTTCTCGGGAGAGGTGTGTGCTCTCATTTAGCAGAATGAGCTTTGCCAGGCTGTATGCTATCCCTATGAAGGGTTCGGGTCCAATAAAGGTTTCCCTAGCACCAGCCTTTGCCAGTTCATCCGCTGATTCATTACCGTCGATGTCCAGAGTGGCCTGGAACCCAGCACCAGACCACTCTTCTCGAATCGAAGGACCACTCTTATTTTTTCCTGTTATCCAACAGCGTTTATGGAGTTAGCCGGTGAAATAGATTATAAGAAAAATGAAAATCCTTTTTTATACATTTTTAAGACTTTAAGGGCCTAAAATACAGGAATACATTAGTCTTGCATTAAAATTAATAACATTAAAAAACCCAGACTTTATTTAAAATAATAAGAGATTTCCATATTACATTCTTGCTTTGTAAACAATAGGACGTTCGGTAACTTTAATTCGATAACTATGTTCTGATTTACGTTTGTAGCCTTTGCTGGTCGAGAAGTTCGAGTAATCATACGGGCGTGACGTCATTTCGGTTAGGTTCGAATACGACAGTTTAACGTTCAATTTGGGCGTTGTGTTGGATAAAAATGAAAAGAAATCGTACGATATTTGATATCGTTCGCTTTCGCGAATCGGTCGACAACAGAGTTATCGTAAGGTTCTGAATCCACCTGCAGGTCACAACTCGCAAGCGCAAATGTTTCATAGATATGAAACAAAATGGCCGAAAACGGATGCGCTTTTGTCGTGAAATGTAGGTAAAAACGAACGGGGATAAGTTAAAATTAGAATTTTTAAGAGGACTGTAGTTTTTTCATAGTTCTTAAATGAAAATTGATGTATTTTGTAGTTTTCAAATTATTAAATTTAAAAATGAAAAAATAAAAATTAAAGAAACTGAATTTATTTATTAATTTATTGCATCACGAGTACAGAGAATGGTATCACATATAAACATACACCCTGTTAAGGTATTGCAATCTAATTATTAATTTTATATATACTTAATTAACAATTTTATACTTTAATAAAAGTCTATTAACTACTCTAATAAAATTCAAACATGCATTATTACTTAAAAATTACTACTATATTATGTACTTACATTAGGAGTATGTGGTTCGTGAGAGACAGAACATTTATACATATTTCTCATTGCTCTCTATCTAACCAGAACTCTTCTATTGAGTAGTAACCTTTAGATACGAGTAACAAACTTGTTTTTAAAAGGTGTATATTAATTGTCCTCTATTTTCAATGTATCTGGTATTTTATTATGGCTATTAAGCACTGAATTTTCAATATTAGTTTAAATGGGGGCTCATTGACCTACGTGTGGGCTGGTTAATTAGTGTAAAGTAATTCAAATTATTTATTTTTCATTAAACACGTATATCATTACAATGGTACTAAATATAACAATTTATAATAATTACAATGAAAATGTACTATTAACAACATCTAAATTCGCAGTGATATTTTTCAATTTAACGTTTTTAAAATAACGGCATTGGCTTTGATTATGTTAATCAGCGATGTTAAAGTTGCGAAAGATTTATAGGTCGCTGTCAAAGGAGATCCGCCAAAATGACCCCAGGCCCGGCGCCAAAATAATGTAACTCAGTTTTTAGAGTAAAAATAGCAATAATATTATATAGTTTCGGTATTGCTAAATTCACATGATAACATAGTTTTTTTGCCTGTTGAATTTTCATAGGCGCTTTATGAAAAATTCTATTTATTAGAGAAGCGTCGTCCTTTTTAGTTCATTAACATTATAATAAATAATTATGGCATATAAGCATGTATATCAATCATATTATATAAACATATTTCATTTGCAGTTATATTTTTTTTTAGAAAAAAAATAGTATAAACTTCCCATAAATAAATAGAAGAATCAAGTCAAATGTTTTAGTTTTAGCTTTTTGTTTGTATTATATAATGATAAATATATCAACATTCGCACAAAGGTACAACAACAAATACGTTCAAACAAATAATTAAAAAAAAGTATATTTGTATTGTTATATTATCGCTTTACGCGACTTTACTTAATGGCCGCATGACCTTCAAGCAATCGGCAAAGAAAGGATGAACACGCACGGATGAACGCACCTGTGACGTGAGGGCACAACTGGATACATCTTATTGTCTCGCTCACATATAATGGTTTAGAGGGAGAAACACGCAGACGCCCGCTTTGCTTTGGCGTGCTCTGCTCACGCGCAGTCCTACGCTAACGTTTGTTGTGTTGTGTACTGTGAATGACGACGTTTCTCTAAAAAATATAATTTTACAAAGAGCCCCTATTAAAATTCAACGGGCAAAAAGACAATGTTAGCATGTGAATTTAGCAATACCGAAACTATATAATATTTTTGCTATTTTTACTCTAAAAATTGAGTTACATTATTTTGGCGCCGGGCCTGGGGTAATTTTGTATGGGATTTGGCGGACCTCCTTTGGTAAAATTACAGGCACAAGGGACTTGTCACCTTATGGTTCAGGTTGACGGGCGCAGTGGCAGTGTTCCTCAGATCTTTGCGATTAAAGGTCTGAATGGCACTGCAACTGTTATGCTAACACCAGGCACACGACTGTTCGTTCCGTCACTTGGTAACATTAAAAAAAATTGTGGCTTCGGGGTGAAAGGGTCAATGACCGCTGTTGACATGCTAAATGGTAAAAAACTGTAGTAGATTAAATTTTATCTTTCTTGTTGCAGTGGTGGACAACATTCCGTTTGACAAAATTCAGTCCGCTTGCATGAAATATTCAGATAAAATTATTGCTAAGGTAAGTAACAATTGTAACCGGGTTGAAGCAGATTCTGACATCTAAAAATACACGTTACTGTTGCTCAATTTTAGAGAACAAATTTGTTATACTATTAATAAATACATTAACAAAATACATTGATGTCAAAATTCAACACTAGGTTAATTTAGAATAAACCTTAAATTGAAATTTTAAAATATACAAAACAGCGTAAAGTCACCATCACTCAGTCAGCGGCAGCGTGTGCACGGCAGCGATGCAAACGCGATGCGCGATCTATTTATTTTACTTGAAAATTTACAATTAACAAAACAGTGTGCATAAACCTATACACATTTTTCGTACATAATGATTCAACACAAGCGACTGCATCGATGCAATCGCGCATTTCTATCGATGCAGTTGCGCGTTTGCATCGATGCAATCACCTATAAATCGCTGCGTCGCTGCAAACTCGCCGTGTGTAATCGCTCTTAACCTAACAACTCGCCGAGACCAATTTCAAGAGCCGATCCAGTTTACGGTATCATTCAATTCAGGCCTCCGTCACTCTCTCGAGGTTACGTGATAAGTGCCTACCGCTGTGTGTATCGCCGACAGTGCAAGCGCTCGGACTAGTCTTTTGTTTACTTTAGGATCCTTGTACAACCCTAGCATTCGGTTCCGCATGACTGCACACGACGGGCAACGTTATTTTCTCCTCTCTGAGCGCGTGTTTAGGTTCCTTTTTCATCACAGTGAGCGCCTGGTTTCATTAGTCAGATTTAGTAGGCTATTATAGTGTAGGTGTGTTCGATTTTATATGAGAGTGATGTACCTGTTACGTAGTAACTATTAAGTAATCAGTGCCCAAAGTATCACTTTGAAACATTTGCGTTCCATGCACAGGTAACGGAGCATGTAAATAGCCTGAATACGGACACGGCGGACGGTGACACAGAAGAGGATTTAGCGAGGAAGAGAGTTCGAGAAGAACTTAAAAAAATTTCTCCTTATTTACCCATGGTAAGCCAAATATGTTAACATACTTGTATATAACAAATATGTTCTTTCTTAAATTTTCGTGAAAAGTAGGATGTTTTTCATAATAATAATAATAATACATTTATTTCATATTTATTAGTAACAATAATCTTATCAACTATGTTAGTAACATCATATAACATTTATAAAAATAAAAAACAATTTCTCACTTCTCATACGAAGCCTTTGACCCATGTAACTGTATCCAGTGACTGAATAACCACCGCGGTCAGAAGACCATTGGCGCTGCTGCGCACACGCATCATCAGAGATGCGACTCGCTTGCGCATGACGGCATGAAAGTCATCCGTGCGCGACGCGTTTTGACGCGTTCGTAAGTTTAGACATGTCTTACGCTTGCGTAAAGCGCCTATCCATATAACAAATTACAATTAAATACAGGAAAACTGAAAACGGTTTTTGATCGTTACAAACGTAGCAGTTACAGTGCCACTCGGAGCTTTAAATCACAAATATCTTAAGGGCACTGCCACTACGTCTGTCACCCTGAGACATAAGTTGACAAGTCTCATGTGCCTGTAATTTCACCAGCACCCTTACCCTTCGAAACCGGAACGCAGCAGTAATGCTCACATTACTGCTGGGCGGCAGAAATACACACATCAAAAAAAGTTTGCGATCAATAGCATAAGCTCCTATAATTCTTTAAATTTAACTTTATCAAGAAAAAAATCTATGTTGTATGCTTTCTTTAAATAGGAATACCCTGTTTGAAATTAAAATATAAAACTATTATTTATTATTTATTTTAAAAAATTGAGCCATTAATCATAATGTAATAGTGATAGAAATTTCATAGAAAGAAAAAGACTGTTTAATTAAACTTAAACAACAATTTATTATTAAAAGGTGTGAATTCAATATAAAATAACTCCTCCCCTGGCTCGAATACATGCGAAGATCCTCCTGGGCATGCTGAGGATCAAGTTATCCAGCATTTCCTGGGGTAACCTATCCCATTCTTCAATAGCGGCTTCCCTGAGCTCTGGAACTGTCTGGGGACGTGGCTCACGGTTCCATACTGCTCGTTTAAGAGCATCCCACGCGTGCTCTATTGGGTTTAAGTCGGGCGAGCCGGCAGGCCAGTCTAATCGTGTGATATCGTATTCTTGAAGAGCAGCATTGACTCGTTGAGCTCGATGTGCGGGCGCATTATCATCGACCAGTACAAATTGGTGCCCATGGTTTACTCGGAATGGTCTGACGATATCATCAATAGCAACTGCTTTGTACATGTCTGCTGTCATGAAGCCCCGATACGGGATCAAAGGCGTTCTAGCTCCAATCATAATGCCACCCCAAAAGGACACCGATTTTCCGCCTTGCTGAACTGTTCCAGTGGCAGTTCTTTGTCTTTCACGGTCGCCTGGTCTTCTCCAGACACGGACACGTCGGTTATCTGGATGAGTGCTGATTCGGGATTCGTCAACGAAGAGACAGTTTTGCCAAATGTTTTCGTCCTCACCTTCTTCATTTTGCCGAAGTCTAGCCCACTGCAATCTTCGTTGTTGACGTTGCCGGGAATTGAGCGGAGCTCGCCAAGACCTCCGTGCTCGTAATCCAGCCTGGTGCAAGCAATTGCGAACGGTCTTCGTGCTAACTTCAAGCCCAGAGGCGGCCCTGACTTCTGCTTTTATTTTAGTGGCGTTGATTGTTGGATCACGGGCTGCCAGCAATCTAATATAGCGCTTTTGGGCAGCTGTCAAAACAGTTGGGCGACCGCTGAGGGGTCGGTCAGCTAAATTCCCCATTCCGTGATACCTCTGCAACGTAGCCACGACACAGGATTGGGATATAGCAAGTCTGCGTGCTATTACTCTCGTGGTGTATCCTTCTTCCCTCAAAGTTACTATTCTAGCTCGTAAAACCTCTGATAATCCTCTTGGCATTTTTTCAATCACAACTTTCCGCGAAAAATATCTTGAATCGCTTATAATTGACTAAATCAGATTTCTGAATGAGCGTAAGCTAGGACTGAAAGCCTTTTTATATGAAAAAACAATTGAACGGGGTCATTGTTTTATGTTCTAATTTATTTTTAAATAAAGAATCTAAAAAGAAGAAAAAATCATAATATAATCTACAGTAACAAAAAAGATTTCAGTTTTTCGAAGTGATCGCAAACTTTTTTTGATGTGTGTAGGTAACGTGGCACTACTTCCCTGGACGAGCTCTTTCACAAGGAGCTCTACTGCTAAATCGAGTTTGTTTTTTAAGGGAATTTACTTGTATAAACATCAACGAGCGCACGATTCTGTTCTGTGGAACATAATTGCGGTTACTAGGGAACGCCCACTTTAGTTTGTTTATTTTAAAGATTAAATTCATAGTGATTTGGCCGGATACCAAATATCCGGCGAGCACCAAGGCCGGATACCAAATATCCGGCGAGCACCAATGCCGGATGGCCGCCGAATATCCGTCCTATTGCCGCGAACATGTCGCAACTATTATAATTATCTTTAAGCATTGTTTATGCGAAAACAAAAGATCGATTATCATTAGAAGATTGTTCGAATCAATCGTGATCACGATCCTTTCATTTGGTGGTCTCGTTAATAAAAATAAACAGAATCGACCACTTAATGCAGAGAAACTGATTTTCCTTCATTCATCACAATTTGCTTTTGATTAAATTTGTATTCAAAATTTTCAGATTACGTTATCTAACTTCAAGCATAGTTCTTTTTCACAATTAATAAACAAAGGGTAAGGTTAACATAACGTAGGTAAAAAAAGGTAATAAACAAATTGTCAATGATCGTATAGTTTCTATTTATTAAAATCTTCTTTAATCAATAAACCAGTTTATTGGTACTTGTGTTTTTTTTCTCAATTTTGGACTTCCGGTATCCGGCCGGATATTGTTTTACTATCCGGTATCCGATCGAATAGTAAAACTAGACTGGATCATGATTTCAACATTAGCAACAGCTGCCATTGCAAAGTCACGGTTGGGGTAACTGAATTAATGTAAACCTTAGGTAAACGACATAGGTATGAGACATTCAGCTGGGTTTTAATATGTTAATTATTTTCACACAGATCATCAAGCAAGTGGTGTCAAGTCACTTCATCCCTCAAAAAACGCCCTACCTTAAAGTTAGGGTAAGTATTTTTTTATTTATAAGATATCTTATAAAGGAAGGTACGTATTTATCGTTTATATTAAATAAAGAAAGGTAAACATTTAATTGTCTAAACCTGTAAAATACTGGGACCAAAAGAGGTAACGGTTATTGGCTTTTCAGCGCGGTGCAAAATTAAGTATAAAACCTTTAACTTAGATTTTACAATGAATACTGTGTAGTGAAAAATATAATATCGCTAACCGAAAACATAATTTAAGTTCTATCGTATTTGTCTACAATTCTATCCCGCAGCTACCGTATCCAGTTTCTAAAACACAATTAATCTGGCGTTACGTTGGCGCTAAAAATAAATATAGATATCGAGTTCTTAGGTTTTCGCGATTGTTACACATAGGAAGTTAAACTATTTTTCCGGATGTAAATCGCATATATTTGTTTTTTCAAACAAACCATGGTCACGTTTCAACATGGTCACGGTTGACTTAACCGTGACCATGGGATGAGACGGTTGAGTCAACCGTGACCATGGGACCTGTAAAGGGCCCGAAACACAGACATATATCTAGATTCGCGTGCCCAAAGTAAGTGAAATTCACTTACTTGCCGCTGCTACACTTCAGAACGCGCTCGACCGTTATCGTAGATAAATACCAGTCGAAAACGCAAAAAAATGCATAATTGTGCCATTATAAACTGCAAAAGCACCATAACTGTGGGTAAACGGGCAAACAAGGACGTTTCCTTCCACGGGCAAGTGATTTTGTAATCAGAAGATGCATAAGTTATTTTAAAACCAATTATTTTGGTTTTGTACGAATTTCGAGAAAACAAATACGCAACTCAGTGTATGCCTCATATTTGTAATACATTGCGGCTTTTACTTGGTGCGATATATTTGTGATCCTTTGTTAATACGCCATGAATATCGAACGAACGCACATATGCATAATGCATTTAGTTTCTGTGGTACGGCCGCTTGTACATTTTTTTTGGCCAAATTTAACATTTATTTATGTATACGTTAGGCAACACTGTTCTCGATTCTGATCGATTTTGAAAACAAAGAGACGAAAATTATTATGACCTTAGCGATATTATAAAAATATTCTATAACTCTTTTGTTATAACGTTTAGTAACGTTTCGTTTTTTTTTTCAGTTTTGTAGTATCTATTATCAGTAAAAAAAATTATAATTTTTAAATATAGTGAGTAAATTATTACTTATTAATTATTTATTTTATTTAATTATTACGAGTAATACAAAAAATATATAATGAAAAGAATTAACAGTGCGCTGTCTTTACAAAAACCTGGAGTTGATCATACGTATGAGTTTGTTGCTTTCGAGGACGAAGGTGGTCTTGTTTATCCCACGTAAGATGCTATCCAATTAATGCAGAGTACCAGAGTTAGAAATCCGAGAAATCATGATCAAATCACAAAAATTTTACACGAGGCTGACATTAATTAAGTAAACTTTTTGTCAACAGTAACATTTTCAGTTGTCTTGCCATTCACCAATTTGATCAATCACCGACGGAAAACCATCTAGTAAATTTAATTAAGGTTTAAACAAGTTTATATATTGACGTGCGTTTTCATTATTTAAGTGAATCGATAAGATCTTCCATTACAAAAAGACAGTTGAAGTTGAAGAAGTTGATTAAAAATTAAAGTTTAAATTATTATGTAATCAATTTTTTTTTTAAACAACTTTTAATAAAGGACATAACTCTCTTGTTTTGGTATTGTTCTACTGTATTAATATTTCACGACTACTTGTAATCGTCGAATACTTGAATCGATTAATTGAATGGAATACGTGTATTCCGTTCAATCAATCGATTTAGCGCGGTAGGAGGTTTCCCATCACTAAATAGTTCATGTGACGTCATGGTGGATACATAAAATGTGGCACGCTTGGTTTTCATACAAATTGCTGTACTTGCGGCGTCTATCTAGATATATGTCTGTGGCCAGAAACGTTGGCTTGTTTGAAAAAACAAATATACGCGATTTAAATCCGGAAAAATAATTTCATTTCCTATAAATATAGATGTTTTGGCTAACCACGAACCTGTCACTTAAAATGTAATATAATAGGTAAATCTAAAAAAATTAAAAGAAATATGGAAAAGGTCTTGGTGGGGATTTTTTTTTCCATAAATCCCCACTGCGTAGCGAGTATATAAGTATTTTAAGGGGATTTGTGGAATTAACCGTTTGTAAGTTAAACAATCAGTATAAGGTTCACTATGCGACCTAAATAAATACATTGTATTTATTTAGACAACATTACATACGTTGCTCCCAAAGTAAATAACTAAAGCACATGTGTTATGGAAATAGGAAACAATGACGGTAACGTATACACCCAGACACGAGACAATATAGAAAAGTCTTTTCTACGTTGACTCGGCCGGGAATCAAACCCGGGACCTCAGAGATGGCAACACCATGAAAACTGGTGTGCAAGCCACTCGACTACGGGGATCTTCAAGTGGCACAAAAAACCAAATACTGTCGTAATTCTTAATTGTAGGATTGACAAGACACGATTTGAGAAAAAAACTAAATGAAACCAATATAGCGCTTATTTGGTGCTACACTGGCGCAATTGTATTTCTTGTAATGTAACAGGAAGTTTTAATTTTATAGATATAATAGAATAGATTTTTTTATTTTATTTCAAAGGACGATGACCCTAAAATGGCATGTCCATAAGCTACACATTTTAAAGCACATAAGACCTAGATTCTGAATCTATTCCTCGATTTTAATTTAAAGCGGCAGATTTTAATATATTTAATAACAAAAACTACTTTTCCTAACCTTTAACTGTCTAATAATCGAACAAACATATAGAATTACATTATATGTTGGGAAAAAAATACCCAAATGCACTTCAGCATCCAGCTGCGCGTCAGTGGAGAAGTTCTTCTGCCTAGTTGTGCTTTCTGATTTTTTCTTAAAAATAAGGTATATTGTAACTCACACATCTGGCAACACTGAACACATTAAATATAATAAACTGCAATCTGTACCCTTCGTTGCCATTAATACTGAACCGGAAATGCAACAGAATTACAAATAATGTTTTTTTTTTTCATTCAAAATAAACTGCTGTTTTGATAGGTTCTAGACTATTATCAAAAATGTAGATTTAATAAATGATAATAAGAAATATGAATTTGCTGGACATGCTTTATGATGATGATTGTATTTTCTATATAAAGTTAAAAATTACTGCCGATTTTTCTTCAAACATGTTAACATACTTAATTCAATGTTGCCAAAATTGCAATTACGTCAATGTAGCACCAAATGAGCTGTATATATATTCTCGTTTCTAAGTGGATAAATAAGTAATATATATGAATAATATACAATTTTCAAGTTGTGTTTTCTCAATTCCACATTTTTGAGTTAGGACAGTATTTGATTTCATTTGCGATGTGATGTACAATTTTTTATAATACGGCATATCGTATACCGTGGCAATGTGAATTAAGCCTTAGGCTCAATTTATATTGCAGCGGAACGGAATGGAAGCGAATTTTTGTAACTATATTGCATAGAGTAATGAACCTCATGTTCAATTGTGTAGCGTGCAAACTAGATACGAGCCAAAAATCACGTCGTGCGTCAGCAGTGGAATTCTCGCGCATGCTCGAGAATGCTCGCGTATCTGGGAGAGTTTGGCAGCTGCCGACGGCGAAGTCCTAGCATATCCGCGGGATCTGACGCGAAATTAGGCGCAGTGTGACGTCAAACGTTGACGTAATACTACAGTCTCAAGGCGCAGTCGCGAGAAAGCTCGAGAATATTCGAGCATTACAGCGACCGCGCGCACTTTCTTCCATTCCGTTCCGCCGCAATGTAAATTGAGCCTAATGAAAGTGAATTTACAGATATACGGCGAGCCGTTCCTTCCGACGAAGGAACAGATGTCTCCTTTCGTGAAACGGTACCACGCGGTGAAGATAATGAGATCGGACCGGATGTTCAATATACTGCGATTCAACGTGCCCTTGCAGCATTATGGGACATTGCTTGCTATGGACGGGACTGTCGTAGGTCAGTTGCTCTTTTGGTGAAATTACCGACACATGGGACTGGTTAACGTATGTCTCAGAGTCAAACCGCCGATCAAACTTAATGGCAACGAACTAAAGTAACTTTATGCATTTAAATACTTTGTCCATGTCATCTCCGACGCTTTTGGGAACCATTTGGACATGGAAAGGGGAAGAACTGGCAGTTAAATGTAACATGTTGACCCGACGATTTGTACGTTGTTGTAGTAAGCAAGTAAAAATAACATTATTTAAAGCGTACTGTCAAGTATTCTACACATGTAGACTTTGGGCCAGCATTGCACAAAGAGGTATCAGTGTCCGTCGAGTCCAATAAAATAATGGCTTCAGGATGTTGATGGGGCTACCATCTCCTGCAGCGCCTCGGGCATATTTGCGCACTATAAGACTGATGACTTTAATGCTGTAATGCGCAAAAAGAGTGCCTCGATGCTCTGCAGGCTGTGGGCCAGTCGCAGCTCCATCTTGATGACTGTGGCGGCAAGCTATGGCTAGCCATGCATGCCCAAGTGTTGATCAACATTCTTGTTGTTCAGGTACTAATTTATTTAGACGTCATTCACTAACATAGATATAAGAATTCTCTTGTTACTAACCAATTTGGACCGTTATAGTCTGATTTATGAATATAATAATTATGAATATAATATAATTAAATTAACACCAGGCCCACGACTTGTTCGTCCTGTCTCTTGATATTATAATATTAAAAAAAACAAAGGAAAATTCCTTGGATCCGGCTGGACTCGAACCAGGGTCGATTCTGAAACCTTACGATAACTCAGTTGTCGACCGATTCGATTTGATATCGTACGATTTCTTTTCATTTTTATTCACAACACGCGAATTGAACGTCAAACCGTCGTATTCGAAAACGGACCTAAATGACATCACACACGATTACTCAAACTTCTCAACCGACAAAGGCAGTCATCGAATGAAAGTTACCGAACGTCCTATTGTTTACAAAGCAAGAATGTAATATGGAAATTTCTTATTATTTTAAATAAAGTCTGGATTTTGTTCAATTTTATTAATTGATTTTAATGCAAGATTAATATATTCCTGTATTTTAGGCCTTTAAACAAGTCTTAAAAATGTATTTTCATTTCATTTTCCTTATAAATGTATTTCATCGACTAACTCTGTAAACGCTGTTGGATAAAGATATCGTATTCGAATCCAAATCGAAAGTTTAACTCCAATGTTCTGAATAGTTCGAAAAGCGCCCTCTCAAGCGCTCTCGAATTCGAGAACGATATCCAATCGAACGATTCTGTTAAAATATCGAAGAGTTCTGAATCGGGGTCCAGCTAGTTTTTCGTCAAACCGGGGCTATCGCTCTCCCAGTTGAACTGCGGAGTTAGCAGTAATTACAAATTTCTGCATGTGTTAGTTCTTAAAACGTCTTTTTTCGCCGACACGCCACCTGTAGCTCAGTTGGTTCGATCGAAATTATTCTTTGTGTTCGGTTTTTGTACCTATCAATAATAATTGTATTTATTATCAGGAGGCGCAAAACTGACAATCCGGTCATCAGACGTACCGTTATACAAGCCAAATGATGCCCTTATAGCGCAAATGAAAGCTGTCTTCGGGGTGGCCCATGAGCCGGGTGACCAGTCGTGCTTGGCCGATGATGATTGGGCAGAAGACGCTGCAGAGTGAAACAGACAGGGGTCTTATTTAATAATTCAGTATTCAAGCGAATACTTATCTTAAGTAACACGAGAAGACGACAAGCTGACTGTTTTTTTTTTTCAGTTAGATATATAGAAGAATGTAAAAGAATAAGTTCTAATTGAAAGTGTGACCAATACAAGCGAAAATAAAACATTTAAGCGGTGATACTTGTTACGTCATCGAAGTTTGCTTGGAAGGGAACATCGAAGGAAAGAGAAAGACCTGGACTAGACCATAATATAAATAAGTTGTTGCCTGTCTCCGTAGCCGAAGGGTTATAAGTTGGCGAAATATTATTTCTATAGTGTTTTTTTTTTTGAAGACTGAGTCAAATGACAGTTTATAGCGCAATAGTGTTGCCCGCTTACGAGCAGCTAGTGTTTGCAGTCGATAAATAACCTATCGGCTGAATATTGGTCACGCTTATGGAATAAATAGCCAAACTTGTTTCATTTGAATCATCCTCGACCTATTATTTCATCCAATTACAGAGCACAAGTTCATTTGAATTGTCAATTTTTGTAAGTTCATACATACACTGTATTTGGAACTATGTTTATGAAAAATACAAAGGGGAGACATATTTGAAAGTTTTTCATTTTAATTTATAGATTATCAAATACGGCTATTTTTGTTAAAATGTATTTTAATAAAAATTGATTTCAAATCCCACTAGCGTGCTAATTAAAAAAAAAAATATTTTTCAGTGTTCGTAATCATAAGAAAACTAGTAGAGTTATTTCACAACAAATCTCAATAAATAGTTTAAATACCTTTGCACATTGGCATTTCATTCTAAACTTGATAATCTTTAGGCGTAAATAACTTTCTGAATTAGTAAGAAATAAGTTTCAGTCGGTATTTTATGAAGTAGGTACCTACTGGTCTGCCCCGCTGAGGTCCCGGGTTCGATTCCCGGGCGTCCCTAGTGCACGCGCCTTTCATTATTATGTGAATGTGTACGTGACGGTGGTGTGTGCGCAAGCCACGCTGCTACGTTTGTATGGATTTACACTACTTGTCTCTTAATATGCCTAGACGAAGTTATAATCCGTCAGAAAATGCTTTATGTCTACGCGATAAGGCTCCGGAATGGAATGTCAGCGATATTGTACGTAGCATTATGAACTTCATGTTAATTGAGTAACGTACAAACTAGAATTTTTTTATTATTATTTTTTGTTTTAATCTTTTCTTTTTATTCCATTTTGACTATAAATTACAATGCCGGCACGCTATGATGGCCGTTTTGACAGATTACAACAGTGAGGTCAAATCTCAATTCATTATCGAAAAAAATATAATCAAATGCGAGTCGCATCTAAAACTTTTTAGATTTATAACTAGTATTGCAAGGGGTAGCTGATTAAAAAGTTTTAATAAAACGAAAATAAAAATGTTTACTTAATAAATCGACAATTCGAAACCGCTTTATTTTGCAATTGAGCTTTGACGCGAGTTTGACGGAAGTAGAAGTTGTGCTGGCCAGCGATCCCATAAGTGACGATCGTATTAGACTTAATTTTTAAACATTTCGAATTTCGAGCAAGAAACGCCGAGTTGAATCGTAAAATTATACATCCATAAATTTTACTGCACGTCACTATTGACAACTAACGTTGATGAGCGGACAAAACGGCCATCAATCGAGCATTCTTTGCATCATAGGTACTATAATTAATTGATTGATAATTAAATTGTATCACTATATTTATGCTCTATAATGTTAATTATTGTGATTTAAATTTTTATATTGGTTTTATTGAATTTCATTGTTGTATAAACTAATGACATAGCTTGTGTACGAGATTAATAATTACTTAAGTTATTACCAATATAGTGCCCTGACAGGGTTGTGCTGGAATACTATTATGTTAATCCACGTAAAACAATTAATTATGAATTAGATACAATACAATACCAACGGGAATTCCCGAGACTACGCGAAAGTTAGAAAGAAAGAAAGGAAGTGGCGGGCTTTTGAAGTTACAGGCACAGCTTTTACAAAGATTATTTTAATTTTAAGTATATTATGAGGAAAAAACGAAGAAAGAAATAGTAATGAAGAAAGTTAGAACTATATTCCTTATTTTTAACCAAATTACCAAAGATTTTATCCTAAAAATTCCAATAATTACAAATTCAAAGTTTTTGTTAATGTGGTTGAAGATAATGTGATTTAAGTGAAAGTGGAAACGTAAATATTGACTGTCGGCGCTTAAAAGTATTTAAAAAACCAAAATAAGAGAACTAAGTTATTTCAGAGAAAGTAAAAACATAATGTATCAGAACCGCAATGGAAAATATTACTAAGAATCCCGATAATTAAACGAAGACATGGCTCAAAGGAATTGTATCCAAGCCAAAACTATTAACAAAAAATACAGTGAAGAAAAACGTCACGCATTGTTTGACTCGTTAATTAGATTTTATCCCTTTGCGGTCGTGCTCCTACTCAACACAGGAGAGTGTGTGAGTGAGTTGGAGCACGTAGCAACCAGCGGCGAGACTTGAAAATATTCCTTGGTAAAGCCGAAGCCTTAACTTTTGAAGAAACAAAAAAACTTACTTTAACAAAAATTCCTTGGCGACACTTAACACAACACTTATTGGCACACAAGATACTAGTTCACTTCATTCACACTTAACTTATTCTGCACATAAAATAACTATAGTTTTTATAGTAATTTGGTACATTTTTTTTAGTAATATTAATAACAGCCCCGCACTAAGGAAACCCTGTTTCGATGGTGCCATGGACACACATAGACAACCACAAATTACACCCAAACTCACGAGAGAAATAAATGTAGGCCATACAAATAAGCCCGGGAATCGACTCTGGGACCTCCGCGTGGCAGTCCAGCGTGGTAACCGTTCGGCCACAGAGGCAGTTTATATAGGCAGTTATTTTATCCTGCCCGTCGCTATAATAAAGTTTGTTATTAAACAAACTCATGAATGCTATTTTAGTTACCTACGAATTACCACGTCCTTCTACATACATTTTTTACGTAGCCCTGTTAGAAAGAAACACTCAAATAGGTATAGATACATACGTAACATTATCGTTAAGATTTACAAAATACAAATTAATCATATTTTGTATTAATTTGCTATTATAATAATCTTGTTACATTATTTTAAGAAAGTTTTACATCTGGCAACGATTCTGACATTAAAGCAAATTAAACAGCAATTTGTTGGAATACGGTTTAAATTTACGTAAACACTATTCGCCAAGAAGCCGATTAATTCCGGCCCTTTTCTCTAAATGTTATAAAGCGGATTTTTGCGAATGTACGCGCGTGTTTTGATGATCGGGACAAGTTATTACGCGTTTAATAGTAAGTATTTTGAATATGTTTTTAAGGGGTGGGGTATGCGCGCTGTACAATCTTTTGGTAATACGCAGAAAATTTTAGGCAAGCCGGTGGGAATCGTGTTATATGGACGCCTCGCCACTGGTAGGAACACTAGTAGGAACACAAAGACATTATTGTCCTGGTTCTCCTACTACACATAAAGACAATGAAACATGTAGGTATGTAAATAAATAACACTGCCTCCGTGACCGGACGGTTACCATACGGTTGTCTATGTGTGTCCATGGCACCCGCGACACAGGGTTTACCTAATGCGGGCTGTGTTGTGTGTGTGCGTTGTTGTTGTTGTTGTTGTATTTAATTTGAAGACAAATTGCTGTTTAAACGAGATACAAATTTAGGTATTGCATATTTCCATGGTACCTACTTTTGGTAAGGCTACATCGATTATTAGTAATTGAATGAGTGAATGCCATAACTGCCACTCCACTGACACTTTATTGAGACTCAACTGTCATTCCAACTAGAGTTTAGCAGAACAACAAATATTATCATAATTGCAATATGATCTTAGTGGAGTCTCAAAGATATTACAAAGATCAGTGGTCAAGGAAATTAGTAGATTGGGGACGCTATTCGTCCATATCATACTTTAATTCAAGTACGGGTATAAACATAATTGATTATCACTAGTAACAGGTTTCTTACCACGGTATAACTTCTTTTTATTTTCCCGATATTTCTTTACATTACAGTCAACCCGTGACCATGGAACGTGCAACCGTTCCGAAATATCGGGAAAATAAAAAGAAGTTATACCGTGGTAAGAAACCTGTTACTAGTGATAATCATTTAGTGAATAACCACGAAAGTCTTAAAATCTATATAATTGATTATTTATTTAGATCCTTATGCTGTGGTTACAATCATCTCATGGCAATTTAAATTGAACCTGACTACACAAAATATGTCGATGACGGACGTCGCGATTCGACACAAGCGAATTGAACGCCTTTTTACTCGTATTGCATGGACATAAAGCATTTTCTGACCGGTTCATTGATAAGTGTGATGATAATTAGACGCTTGAAGAAGCTCCGTTCCACTATTAATTTTATTTTTGAAACATACACGAGATCGGACGCGGGACGGGATATACACGGAATTAGACCCGCCGCGGTCGCGACCAGCGTTACCAATGCCAATTGTTCAAAATCCCCAAAAATGACGGTTAAAATCCCCAAATTTGGGGTGAGCAAAGTTCATATTCCCCACATCTCGAGTTTTCATTATATAGTACGTACAAATACATCGCTTAAAAATATAATAAAGAATTAAGAAACTCAAATGTAACCATCTATTACATTTGCTGTAAATGTAAACAGAATTTATTTATTTATTTATTTATTTATTTCATACATACATCTATTTTTACAGTTAATCTATTTTTACATTTAAAACGTAAAACAAATTATATTATTTAAATAACCTTAAATTCTTTATTTATTTTAATGAGGTTCAACATTAATGAAGCTTTGAAAAAAAAAATCCTTTGTCTTACAAAATTAAGTAACTTCATTACTCCATTATGAATATATGAATATATTCATTATTTTTCTAATTACTTTTTTTTTCAATCCCTTAAGGTTTTTACATACACGACCTAATTTTCCGTTTAAGATAATTATTTACGTAGGTACGTAAGATCATTTTTTTAAGTATATTTCAGTTTCTTCATTACTTGTTATCTTTTTATGCTGATGGCTATTACAGCCATTAGTGGGGCCAAAGGTAGACTTGTTTCACAAGTAGTTAAATTGTTGTTGTTTCAAACACTATCTACCAAATCTGCCATAATTGTGTCAATATGAGCCTGGACTGGACACGCCTGCAGCTTGATTTTGATTGCCTCTCCCGATTAGTAACTGCGTCTTTTCCGAGTCGAGGCGCATAATTGCGATTCACAACTGGCCGATCGGAAACTTTTGACATTTCTAATCGGAACAATAGTTGATTTAACTCATAAATTAGAAAGATATAATGGGAATCAGGTTCATCTTCTCGCCCAAAAACTCATCTGATTTCGAGACCGATCGGATCGATTACGGTTTTAATCAAGATCAGGACGCTGATAATATTGTTAGTGTGGTAACCGTCTTAACTTTCGTGGGAGCATTATGAGCATTATCTCACTTATCGCGCTACA